TCACTAATTAGGCGTGCACCCAAAAAATTGGAAGATTTGAACCAAAAATGAAGGCAGGCCCCCCCCCCCCTACATCAAATGTGCCAACTCCACCATCCCCTTTAATGTCAAATGTTCGTATTTTCATTTTTTCAGAAAAAAGTTCTCCAATCTACAAAAATAAAGAAGATAATTACCTAGAAGTGGGAGGAGAACCTCTGGGAAATGAACGAGTGCCTCCTGAAGATATTGATCAGCTGACCCGGTCAAACCAGGGTCAGATAAAGACAGATGAAAAGTTGCCAAGGCCAGACTGTACGAAATATTTGGCAACTGAGAGAGGTTTCTGAAGAAAACACACATTATTTTGTCATATTAAATTTAGGTATTGAAAAAAAGTTTTTCTTTGACATTTCTTAAACATTTTTTTCTACAATGACAACTATTTTCTAGAAAATAACACTGGAATTTTTCATTTAGAGAATTTAGAGAATTAGTATCAACATATCATGTGACGCTACAATTGAAGAGTGCAATAAAGAATTCACGAGAAAAACCAAAAAACCTCTAGATCAGAAATACTATGACGTAGAACTCAGTGTTAAAATATTTTTTTTCCAACACATTTTTGTTGAAAGGTTTAAGTTTTAGAAAATGCGGGACCATGGGTACAAAAATCACACATTTTTAAAGATAAAAATAAATGTAGGTTAAACTGTACTTCTTAAATAAGTGTAATTAAGGGAAATCTTCTAATTCAATTAAATTATTTTGACAGCCCTTCAAGAAAGATAACTAAAGCATTTAAAAGTAAAAAGTAAACATAATGACGGACAGCAAATAACATAAGGTGCTGTAAATCTACCTAACATTCTGTGAATATACCCAACGTACTATAAATCTACCTAACGTACTGTAAATCTACCTAAGGTGCTGTAAATCTACCTAACATTCTGTGAATATACCCAACGTACTATAAATCTACCTAACGTACTGTAAATCTAACCTAACGTACTGTAAATCTACCCAACGTAATGTAAATCTACCCAACGTACTGTAAATCTACCTAACGTACTGTAAATCTACCCAACGTACTGTAAATCTACCTAACGTACTGTAAATCTACCCAACGTACTGTAAATCTACCTAACGTACTGTAAATCTACCCAACGTACTGTAAAACTACCTAACGTACTGTAAATCTACCTAACGTACTGTGAATCTACCCAACGTGCTGTAAATCTACCTAACGTACTGTAAATACGTACTGTAAATATACCTAACGTACTGTAAATATACCCAACGTGCTGTAAATCTACCTAACGTACTTTAAATCTACCCAACGTGCTGTAAATCTACCTAACGTACTGTAAATACGTACTGTAAATATACCTAACGTACTGTAAATATACCCAACGTGCTGTAAATCTACCTAACGTACTGTAAATACGTACTGTAAATCTACCTAACGTACTGTAAATATACCTAACGTACTGTAAATATACCTAACGTACTGTAAATCTACCCAACGTACTGTAAATCTACGTCACTAACGTACTGTAAATCTACCTAACGTACTGTAAATCTACCCAACGTACTTTAAATCTACGTCATAACGTACTGTAAATCTACCTAACGTACTGTAAATATACCTAACGTACTGTAAATATACCTAACGTACTGTAAATCTACATAACGTACTGTAAATCTACATAACGTACTGTAAATCTACCCAACGTACTTTAAATCTACGTCATAACGTACTATAAATATAACTAACCTACGGTAAATCTATCTAACGATCAGTAAATCTATCTACCGTACTGTAAATCTATCTAACGTACTGCAAACCTACCAAGCATAATGCAAACATACCAAACGTATTGCTAACCTACCAAACGTACTGCAAATCTACCTAACGTACTGCAAACCTACCTTGTTCTATCCCAGACTTTATGAAGCTCGACCAACCATTTATATTCACGGGCTCGGAGAGCATAGAAATCCACCATCAATATAGCAGCTAGGGGGTCCTCATCAGGATCCAAGATTAGTAGTATCTAGAGAATATACAGGGTTACCCACAAAGAATGAGACTTCAGAAACGACTGTACGGAATAAATCCTGATTCCTAACTGTTTCCTATTTGCATAATTCCCTGCAACTATAAAGACGATATTCAAGGCAGAAGACGTGATTTAAACTTGGGATCGTCATAATTGAAGAGTTTCAAGTCTCGTATTTTGTGGATAACCCTGTAGGAGATCAAGAGACGGAAAATAAGCAATAATTAGTTTAATGATCTCTAAAGCAGTTCTAGAGCAAGCTCTAGAAGATATGTAGCTAATATGACGAAAAAAGTTTAATGATCTCTAAAGCAGTCCTATAGCAAGCTCCAGAAGAAACGTAGCTAATATATGTCGGAAAAGAGCAATAATTACCTTTGTCAACTCTAGAGCAGTCCTATAGCAAGCTCTAGAAGAAACGTAGCTAATATAGGGCGGAAAAGAGCAATAATTACCTTTGTCAACTCTAGAGCAGTCCTATAGCAAGCTCCAGAAGAAACGTAGCTAATATATGGCGGAAAAGAGCAATAATTACCTTTTGTCAACTCTAGAGCAGTCCTATAGCAAGCTCTAGAAGACACATAGCTAATATGTCGAAAAAGTGCAATACTTACTTTATTTAACTCTAGAGCAATATATCAAGCTCTAGAAGATACGTATAATTACCTTAGTTAACTCTAAAGCAGTCCTATAGCAAGCTCTAGAAGATACGTAGCTAATATGGCGGAAAAGAGCAATGAAAAAAGACCGGTTTTCCTGTCTCCTAAATAATCTTGGCATTAAAATTAAAAAGATGATACAGTTAGGGCCAGGACCATAACTAAAAGTGTAAGAAGGGGGTGGGGAGGGGGGTAGAGCCCTGTAACACAATGAAAAACCACTTATTTCACCCTAATTTTTATCTAATAGGGGTGGGGATTGGGAAGCGTCGGATGCCCCCCCCCCCCTCCTTTAGTTACTGCCCTGGTTAAGGCAGAGATTCTTGGCGAAAAAAGCCTGAAAATAACGATCCAAGCTCCTAAGCCAGGTGAATAAGCAAGATTGACTTTGATGAACAGTACGCCATCTATGATTGAGGATTATATGGGATTGTGTTGTCTAATTACAAATTGATGTTCTTTTCTCATGGTTTCATGTTTAACTTGTAAATATAATACTTGTAATACCATATCTTAGATTTACATGTCAGAGCTTCTTTAATATGTTAATAATACCAGTTCTTAAAGAAACTGTGGTAATAAGTGATCCTCCATTAAAAAGACATGCCTGATTCACAACGATATCCTTGAAGCCTTCATCTTGTCAATATTATGGAAGATAGCTTTGCTTTCCTAACCTAAATTAACTCGAACAGTTATTTCTGAAGCAAGAAATGCGCAAGTCACTTTAGTTGAAAAACTGCAAATGATGAACAGTTTCAAAACTAAAAAAACGTGGGTACTTAACTTATACGTGATCAGATCAAGGTTTTAAGGGTAGCGTTGTGAATCAGACATGCCAGGCTATCAATGAAGATTACGTTTACAGTCCCTTCAAGGGAAAGTTTTCAATAGCACAGATAGTTTTCTGTTTTGCCTTAGGGTATTTATCTGCAACTTTCTTCAAAAAGCTTACACGACTTATATGATTTGGCAAATTTTGAGCTCTCAAAAATAGAAGATTGGTTTAAAGCAAACAAACTGACTTTGAATGCGTCTAAAACCAAATATATTCTCTTCAAAAATAAAAAAGAAGATGTAAGTATCACCTCGCTTAAACTTCAAATAGATAATAAAGATATAGAAAGAGTAGGAACTGGAAGCAAAAATGAATCTTTTAAGTTTGTAGGTGTTCATTTAGACGAAAATCTTAACTGGAACCATCATCTTAAGGCGGTTAAAAACAAAGCATCCAGTGCAGTTTTTGCTTTGTAAAGTGTAAAAAATATTATTCCTAGTAATATTAAACTAACCATTTACAACTCTTTATTTCGATATGAATATGGAATTTCAGCCTGGGGATGTAACAAATGTTCAGAAATGAAACAAATTCACATTTTACAGAAACGAGCAATACAATTAATTGATAACTCAAAAGCCACGTCTCATAGTGATCCTCTTTTCCTTAAGTATAAGATTCTAAAGATTAATGATCTGGTAGACTTTAACCAAGCTATATTTATGTATAAATATACACATAAACTTCTTCCTGCATCTTTTGAAAATATTTTTAAAAAGCTTGGAAACTTTGAAAGATCTCTTAACTATAAACTTGACATTTTTAAAAATGTGCTCATTACAGTATTTACCATCAAGCTCTCTTCTTAAGATGTGGAATAACCTGCCTCTTGACTTAAAAAGAAGCAACTCTCTAAGTATATTTAAAAATAGACGACTAAATTCTCTTTTTGAAAATTATAGGACAATGTGTTATAAACCGAATTGCTATTCATGTAAAACTAATTAGATATGTTTTAATATGCTTTGATATTTGTTGTGTACATGTCAGAAAATTACTTTAAACTCTAGTTATTCGAATTAATGTATAAACTATTTTGCATAAGATAAATTCGCACCCTGATCTCTAATCGTTCTCCTTAAATCTATTTAATTGAAATATTTTGTTATTATTACTAAAATTAGGTGGAAAAAATAATCAAAACAGCCAAGAGCTATTTTCCACCTAATTGCTTTATACTTGTATTGTTAATATAATCATCAATTTTGTGATTGTAAACTCTATCTGTATACAGATACATTTATTTTAGCAATAAACTTTATCTTATCTTAATTTTAATTTTGGTTGATTTTCACCACAGAATTTAAACTTTAAATAAATTTAGCGGAGAAAGTTTTCAAAAAAGTATGAATGTCCAATTTTTAAATTTAAACAAGTTCTTATTTAGAATTAACTAAATATTTAGTAGCTCACATAAAAATTGTAGTTGTTCAGACTTTAAAATACGTAAATATACATAAATTTTGAAGGTTCAGTGTCCATTTTTAAGCTTGCCGCTAATTTTCTAAATTGTAATCTATAAATATGAACCTTTAATCTATAAATATGAACCTGTAATCTACAAATATGAACCTGTAATCTAGATGAGATGACCCCGCGGCCAGGTTAAAACAGGGATGAAAAGAAGACTCAAGAGCGTAAAGAGTTCTTTCTAAAATAATTTTTTTTATTAAAATTCAGAAATTTAAGAAGTGTAAAAAATAACTTGTAAATTACATTTTCTTTTATCATCATTTTCCCCACAGATACACACTTCACTGTACCATGATATGAAACTTTCAGAAAAAAATATTTTTCGGTTTGGACCTTTGAACTTGTTTTTAAAAACACTCATTTTCATCAAAAACTGAATCGATGGATGTAATTTAAGAACAATAATTAAGTTGTGAAAAAAACTAATAAAACCTAACAGGGAATTTTCAGTGGACTGTTTGTTTGACACATCCAATTATGTTCTATCATGAAAAAATAAGATATTTGTGATTAAAAGTGTGGAAGAAAGATGTAAGACGGCAAAACATCCTTCAAATCAAATTTGTTTTCAGAGACTGTATTTAAAAACTGGCAAATTCAGGGCAATCACCTTGATTTTTAAACCGTAATAAATTTTATAATTTTAACATCAAGTTTTACTATTTTACTTAAAATTATGTTACCCTTTAAAAACACATTAACCTTTACAAAATAATCCAGGTGTATAAATTTATACCTACAAGTTCGGCGGCCATAGCTGAATCCTCGCCCATTTTACAAATTTCGGCCATCTGTAGCATACTGTCTATATGCATTGGATGATTGTTTAAAATTTTCATAATTCTGTCCGGATTCATACTTTCCACAGCAGACAGGAAATCCAGCTGTACACTCTAGAACAATAAAAAAACAATTATCTCGATTTTTGTTATAAGAATGTTTTACAGGAATGTGATACATTTTTTAACGCCATTAAACTGGAAATCAGCATCAGAAACGAATCATAATATTTACAGAATATTAATAAACACAAAACGGCTAAAAGGGACTGTAAGCGAAAGTAACCCTCCATGCACAGATCTATTCATTAAGAAGCTGCTGATAAGTGCGAACACTACCACCCATCGCCCCGGACACTACCAGCCGGTTTTTGGAAATCATGCAAGTCATTGTAATGGATTTTCTTCAAATGCACACAACTAGAATATTATTCAAAAACATTTAATTAAAAATTTCAGACTCCCGTGACCTCTGGTTGACCTCCTTAAGTTCTAACTTCGAGGCAATTTTGGCCCAACCCTGCATGATTTTATTTGACAGAACTTCTTTGTAAATTAAGATATCAAGCTAATTTATAGCCATTTTTTACTAGCTTTTTTTAAGTACAGTACACGTCCAAATTATTATTTCAGTTCACTTTCCAAATGTGACCAAAAGTGATGAACTAACTAAAAATATTTTAATGAACTATCATCTTTACAATTTTATGAAATTCTACTCCTTATTCACCATTTTCTAAATTCTACTCCATAATTCACCATTTTTTAAATTCTACTCCATCATTCACCATTTTTTAAATTCTACTCCATCATTCCCCATTTTTTAAATTCTACTCCATAATTCACCATTTTTTAAATTGTACTCCATCATTCACCGTTTTTTAAATTTTACTCTATGATTCACCATTTTTTAAATTCTACTCCATCATTCATCATTTTTTAAATTCTACTCTATATTTCACCATTTTTTAAATTCTACTCTATAACTCACCATTTTATAATTCCACTCTATAATTCACAATTTTTTAAATTCTACTGCATCATTCACCATTTTTTAAAGCGATATTTTAAAGAGGTTGCTGTGAGTTAGATTTGAAGAGGCGGGGGAAGGGGGATAAATCAATGATATGTTTGAGTGAGGGTTATCTGTACCTGATACTGTGGGGAATGATCCCAAGTAAACCATTGTCCGTCCTTCTCACTTTCAACAATTCTCATTGATAAGCCAGATCTATAATCAGAGGAGATGAAATTCTCATATATAAACCAGATCTATAATCAGAGAAGATGAAATTCTCATAGATAAACCAGATCTATAATCAGAGAAGATGAAATTTTCATTGATAAACCAGATCTATAATCAGAGAAGATGAAATTCTCATAGATAAACCAGATCTATAATCAGAGAAGATGAAATTCTCATTGATAAACCAGATCTGCAATCAGAGATAAAATACGTAAACCAAATCTATACACCCCCCCCCCCTTACTGTTACCTGTTAGCACTGGGCCAGGCTGGTTTAGGTGTGATAAGAACAGATCCACGGAGCTGAACCCGTCCTCGTTGTTTTCTCCTAGAACAGTAATTTAATCATTACTTTAAAAANCCCCCTTCAAATATTATTCTTTATCCTCAAAGCAGAAAAACTATCATTTTAAGTAGCATAAAAGTTACGACTAAGTAGTAAACTAAATAAAAAAAAAAATAGAAGATTATGAAAATATGTAACTCAGTAAATACAAAAGTACATACATAAATAAAAAAAAGTAAGTAATAAAGTAGTCTTACTCTCCCTTTTATAACAAGAGTGAACACTCCCTTTAACCTAGTCCTACCTATTCTCTGTCTGAACAACTCTTGAACCAAAGATCTTTTTCATTTCATTCTCCGGGTTAAGATGTTTGTTTTCTATACCCAGCACCTCCTTGAGAGGGTGGGCGGGGAGAACCTTGGGTGCCTGGACGGCAGGGGCGGGGCCGAGGGTGTTCTCCACCCACTTCAAGCTGGCCTCGACCTCATCCAGGTCAAGGTTATCTTCGCTACTTTGAACTACGGCTCTTTTCCCAGTTTTCTTTTTTCTTTTTTTCTTCTTTTTTGTCTCGGCAGTCGAGGGTTGGGATGGGACGATGTCCTCGGGGTCCTCGTCCTTGTCCTCGGACTCTGAGCATGACGCATTCAACAGCTGAAACAAAGAAAAATTGGACGCATTCAACAGTTAAAACAAACAAAAGTAGGACGCATTCAACAGCTGAAACAAAAACAAAAGTAGAACGCAATTAAGTTTAACAAAAAACTAGTATTTACACTCTGTGTAATTACTTCTTTGCTCGAAATATTAACAAAAATTAATGTCCAAGATTTACCAAAGAGAATGCGTTTGCTCCGGTGGGTTTACGAGCTGGTGAAGCAACCTCGTCCTCTTCCTCCGGGGAGGGGAGGTCGTCCTCATTCCGCATCTTCCGAAGCGCTCGACTCGACATTTTTATCTGGAAAATATAAAAAAATATTATTTTTTACACGCTGTAAAAAAATCTAAATTTTCTGGACAAAGAACTGAATCCAGGGGGAGGGTGATGGTGGAGGGAGTTCCTTTCTTTCCGGTTCGTTTCCCCGGCGGTTTTATGGCCGGAGAGAATCCCATTTCGTCCATGGAAAAACTGGAAAACAGCTCTTCTGCCGGTTTCTTTAAATCCTAAAAAGAAAAGAATAAAAAGTGTTTACATTGCGAAAAGCAGAAAATTAAAGTTACTAGGAAATTGTTTTGCGAATTTTTAATTGTCAATGTTTTCTTTAATTATGTCGAATGTCGATCTTATGTTAAAATTTCCCTGCCAAAATGGTTTCAATTTCCATATCAAACATAATTATGAATAAAAAGACTCCTTGTATAGTAACTGTAAAACTTATTGGGCAATGAAAGAGGTAGTATTTACTTCAGGATATTTCACAAAATGGCAGATCAAGCAAGATTTGACCTGAGCAATCGGCATTCAAATCTCTCTCTATCCCCCCCCCCCCTCCCCCTAGGAATAAATGTCTTGACCTGAGGTAATGATAGTTCTCCTGAGGGCGGACACTGCGCAGAAATATGTTCAGCTATCCTAAATAAGGTTTATAATGAAGAGTTAGATCTAAACAGGTATTTATATTCTTACTTCTTAAAATTATATTTCATAATAAAAATATCGATTTTAAGAAAATTGCATGACCCCATTCATGAAACCCGGATTTTAAAAACTTGTTTTCATAACAATACCCTGTCTAAAGTTTTGGGCTCAGTATTACAGATAAATGTACTGTATGACCTGCACTAAATGTACTGTATGACCTGTAATTAATGTACTGTATGACCTGTACTTAATGAACTGTATGACCTCTACAATCTACCTGGCAGTAGGTGAATGATAATGATTGACAAGGAGTGAGAGTTCCCATGCTGTTGTATTACTAGCAGAAGAATGTTCTGGATCTTGTACTGTAGGATCAAATACACCAGAACCAACCTAGAATAGTTCATTATTAGGGAAATCTAATTCCCCCCCCCCCCCCCCTTGGCATTAAAATTAAAAAGATGATACAGTTAGGGCCAGGACCATAACTAAAAGTGTAAGAAGGGGGTGGGGAGGGGGGTAGAGCCCTGTAACACAATGAAAAACCACTTATTTCACCCTAATTTTTATCTAATAGGGGTGGGGATTGGGAAGCGTCGGATGCCCCCCCCCCCCTCCTTTAGTTACTGCCCTGGTTAAGGCAGAGATTCTTGGCGAAAAAAGCCTGAAAATAACGATCCAAGCTCCTAAGCCAGGTGAATAAGCAAGATTACTAATATGTTAAAATATAATTAAGAATGTTAGATTTTTATTAAATATGTATTTTAACAGAAACAATAACCCCTACAAAATTAAGAACTTAACAATATGACCAAAAATTAAGACTTAAAACAAACGAAGGAGAGGTTCAATTACACAATTTTTAAACAGTCTGTACTCAGTAGGATTTTTCTGACCTCGTGATCACTATCCAGGAGCTGCAGAGCAACTGTATGTGTACTAATCAGCTGCCGGAGCAGCCCCAGGCAGGCAGCTGCTCCGTGGTGAAGAAGCTGTAAGGACAGGGTTCCCAGGCGCTTAGAGAAGGCAAGCACACGACCCCGGCTAACGCGCTTTCTGCGTTTTATCAACATATCCGAGAGCGCTTTCACCGCTAAGGGAACGTCCTCATGTGTTCTAAAAATGTAAGAGTTCGCACAATCTTTTTACATTTTTTTTACGAAGGTTTTTTTAAACTTTTATTTTGGCTTTTCTAATTTATATTTAATTTTCTTTGTTTGATTCTTAATTTTTCTTTTCTAAAAGTTTGGGTACCTGATAGAGTCAAGGAGGAACATATTGTTGTATAGATGTATGTAGAAGGAGGCGGGGTCGATGTTGAGGGCCTCCCCCTGCCCAGAGAGGATCGTGAACACCGTGCTTACCAGAAGTAAGCTGTCCCTGTTTTCAATTCAATATTTGGAATCAGGATTTTTGACAAATATAATTTTAACTTGTTAAAAAATAGAGCTCATTTAGACTAGGAAATTTTAGGAGGCAGATCAAATATCAGTGAACAAATCATGTAATTCAATGATTCTTAAAGATAAGGGATCAATCATACTACTACGGTAGTTTAAGGACTCTCCCATCCTCAATTTTTTTAGCACAGCCAGTAGGACGGACAGTTTATCTATCTATCATTTAACAAAATCCGAACTATGCCAGGGAGGGGGGGGGNTAAAAATGAACGCATAAATACATTTTTAACTGCGGCGCATGGACGCAGTGAAAATTACGACCGGTGCTAAGTACATAAAAAATACAAGTTTCCTTTTTTTTTCTATTTTCGACACCTGTTCAGACCATTTATAATTAGATGGATGACGTTTTCAAATTAAACATAAAATAAATCTTTTGAAGGATAAAGATCTTTAAACTTTGAATTAAAAGAACGATACAAAAGATTTTATTGAATAGGTTCTAAAATAACTGATAATTAATCGAAAAAAAGACTTTTTACTGAAAGCAATAGAAAAATTTTATGTACTTTATAACTAAGGAAGAACTATTCTAAGAATTTTAATAATCTAAAAAAGCTTTATTAAAATTCTAAATATTTTTTCCAAATAAAAACTAAAAATTAAAGAAATTTAAGAAGTGCTTTTCCGGTCTCTCAGTGCATTGTTTTTCTTTTATCATAAAAAATCTATTTTTGGACTGTGTATATTTTCATAATATTTGCTTAAATATTTGATTTGCTCCCTGTGAGAAAGGAAGTCTACGGAAAGAAGGTCTCTGAACACGGAGATGAGGTCGGAGAAGAACTCAAGATTGATCACGTGAGCAAACTTTGCCAACCCCTCCAGTACAGATCCTAAACATGGGGATATATTTTTCTACATGACTTAGGATCTATTGGATCAACAAATTCTTAGCCAGTGTTTAGGATCCATTTCATTTTGACCGGATCCAGGTCATGAACAATTCTTAAAGATTTATTGAATAAAAGAAGATTTTTTCTTCTTCTTTTTTTCGCTTTGTTTTTTCTATATAAAAAACTTAATGAGCTATTTAAAGATAAGGGTATAAAGGTTTTTTTTAAATTTTTTAAAAAGTTTTATAAAAGCTTTTTGTACCAAAACTTTAATTTTATCCTACTGCGATTAGAATAGAAAATTGCTTCAAAATGGAAAAAGATGAATTGTTTTGGGTAAATTTGTATTTTAAACAATGTGTAAGGTTCGTTTTCTACAGTTTTAAATATTTTAAAACTCACCCATGAGATTACTTCTTGGGAAGGATTTAAGAATTCTGAAGTAAATTGTGAAAACTAGTTTAGTCGCTTCAGTGAAGAACTTCTCCTTCACCTTCTTCCCCTCTTCTCCCCTCGCCTCCAACATCTCCCTCTCCAGCAGCTCCAGCTTCTTCTTCCTCTTCTTCTCCATCCTGGAGATCTTATTCTTCTCCATCAGCTTCTGCTTCCGAGCCTCCTTCTTCTTCATGTCGATCTCGTCCTCTTTCTCCTTGTCTAGGTTCACGTTCTTAATTCTGGAAATCAAATCAAATTAAGTTTTGAGACAGTAATAACTTTTTAACATTAGGAGGAATAAACAAATGTGAAAAAAATAGTCAAGATTCATTATTTTTTAACTTATCCAATTTTTTTTCTTCTGAACATACAACCACCAAAAAGACTAAAACGATCATGCCGAATTTTTTCATGATCGCGCGCCGATCAGATTTAACAAATATTTCTACTGCTTAGACTTTGAAATTTTCGAAAATACACCAATTGAAACGGAAGAATCTGTGAATTTTATTTTATTTAATGGTTTAATAATGAACGATGAGAAATGGTCGTAGGTAAAATAACAATGGCAAAATAAAATAATTAATAGATAGAGAGAATGAAATTGTATCAAGCATTCCATTTACCTTTCACAAAAGATAAATATACTTTTTTAAATTATATAAAAATGGTGGACTTAAAGTTTCAAAATGTTGCTTTTTAAGCAGCAATTAGTCGTAGATCATTAGACCAAAATTACGCGGATTATGCCGTTTTTTGTTTTTAAATTTAAAGAAAAAATTGTCACTTTTTCTATGCAAACTTGTTTAAATTATGACGGGCCACAGACATTTTATAGATTACGATAGAACCATCCAAAATGTCCTAAAATATGCTGAAAATTTTACCTGAGCGCACGAAGGACGTCAACAACCTCTGTCCTCACTTTATGCTTTCTACTCTTCACCAGATGATTTATCAGCCTCGCAGCCTCTAGAGAGATCTCCCCCCTCATATCCCCCTTGAACACCTCCTCAAGGGTCTTTTTAACCATGTTCCTGGCCCCAGGGTGCCCAGAGGTCAGGATTGGAGTGATAGCGTGGAGAATATTCTTAGCAAAGTTGAAGTGAGGATGAACTACCAGAAGTTGACACATACAGGATAAAAAGAATTCGGCTTGTTTAACTTCCAACGCTGGTTTAGTTTTCCCGCGTTTTTTGAATAAATTTAGAGGTTTTTCAAGTTTGAGGAGATAGAGCTTGTAGCAGCGGAGCAGCTCAGCTTCATACTTCTGCAGCTTCAGGGTTTCTTTCTTAAGCTTCTCTTCCGTATTATGATGAGAGATCTTATATCCTGGAGTCACGTCCTTTAGAACCTCGAGGACACTAGCAGCCGCCAGCCTCTGTACGCTGATAATAACGGACTCCGGCTGCTGGGCGCTCACCAGCTTAACAAGCTTCTGGAGGTTGGGTAGTCGGTCCTCCGGGGCCTCAAGGAAACTAGAGGCCAAGCTTCCAATGTGGATTTTCTTCTCAAGAAGAAGTTCTTTTCTCCGAGCGTAGAGTTCAACTACAGATACTTCTTCTCCGGGTGCTATTTCAGGTTCTTTAACTTTGTTCTCCTCTTCCTCATCCTCGTCCATATCATCATCATCTGCACCCTTCGCCTTCTTAGGAGCAACCTCATCCTCCTCTTCCTCTTCCTCCTCTTCTTCTTCATGATCAGATACTTCAATATTTCTTTCTTTTAAACCAGCTTTAGTTTTGATTGGGAGCATTGCTTTCATCTTCTTTTGACTGAAAAATCATAAAATCATTTAAGAAAATATATTAGAAACACTTTAAATCAAGTTTGATTAGTTTTAGCTTTAAAAAATGTAGTTTCCTTTCTTTGCGATAAAAAAAGGTTTTTTTTATTAAAAAATTCGATTTGAAATATCCTAGGTAATGTTCGGTAAAATCCATAAAAATGCTAATACATTAAAGGGAACCTTTTAGAATTCAATTTGAATATGAGAAAATATGATTGTGTTTCTAGAAATCCTCGGAACGAAAATTGGCTTTAATTCCTGAAATTAATTTTAATATTAAATATAATAATACCGTTCTAATATCAAAACTTTCCCTTTATCCTTATGGAATGGTATAAAACATAAATAATTACGTGCAAGGTCGCCCGATAATAATTGCAATACTTTTTTTGATATTCCATAATATGCGATTGCGATCTGTTAATGGCCTGGTAGAAGTTTGCCTAGTAAACTTTCGTCAAGAGACCAAATTTAAAGAATTTAAACTGCGTCGTTGAACCTCTAAAAGCATTCAATTGAGCGCTGGCTTAAATCTCGAAACATTGAATTCAATTTAGAGCGGAAACAACAATTTTTGAGACGCGGCTCAAATTCTTAAAATTCTGCCTCAGATGTACTAGACAACATGTTACTGACCCTAATTCTGTTCATGAATTCAAATATCTGACAATTCTTTGTTTATTTGTAGTTTTTAAACATTTTGAAAATCCCAGATTACGGCAACGGGAAACGTTGCGTAAAGCTAACCTGTCGTTTTCTGCGTTTATTCTGTCTATAGCTCCCTTCTCCATCTCATCGATCTCCTCCTCCTCCTCCTTGTCCTTCCCTCCCTTCTTCCTCTTCCTGTCCATTCTCCTGATAAACTCCTTGTCTTCCTCCGAAAGGTTCTCCGCCAGCTCTAAAAGGGCGCTGTCCCTATCCTTGTCATTCTCCGCCTGGTTCGCTGAACATCAAACAATTAATCAAACAATTGATTGATCGATTAGGATTTCGGCGATTTACATCCAAATATGATTTTTTCCTCATTTAAATGATAAAAATCATTTCCGGGTGAGGACTCATTGGATCCGCAAAATTTTAATTCCTGATTCGCAAAAATATACAAAAAAAAATATTTTTTCTCAAAACATAAATCTGTCAAAGTATCCACTGTGGACAACATAATCTGTCAAAGTATCCACTGTGGACAACATAAATCTGTCAAAGTATCCACCGTGAACAACATAAATCTGTCAAATTATCCACTGTGGACAACATAAATCTGTCAAAGTATCCACCGTGGACAACATAAATCTGTCAAATTATCCACTGTGGACAACATAATTCTGCCAAAGTATCCACTGTGGACAACATAAATCTGTCAAATTATCCACTGTGGACAACATAAATCTGTCAAAGTATCCACTGTGGACAAAATAAATCTGTCAAATTATCCACTGTGGACAACATAAATCTGTCAAATTATCCACTGTGGACAACATAAATCTGTCAAAGTATCCACTGTGGACAACATAAATCTGTCCAAGTATCCACTGTGGACAACATAAATCTGTCAATGTATCTACTGTGGACAACATAAATCTGTCAAAGTATTCACTGTGGACAACATAAATCTGTCAAAGTATCCACTGTGGAAAACATAAATCTGTCAAAGTATCCACTGTGGACAACATAAATCTGTCAAAGTATCCACTGTGGACAACATAAATCTGTCAAATTATCCACTGTGGACAACATAAATCTGTCAAAGTATCCACTGTGGACAAAATAAATTTTAGCGAAATTGTTTTCTCAAATCTTCAGCAAATATAAAGAAATATTTGATGAAGTTTATTATCTGGATCCGGATCCGCATCAAAATGAATAAGACCCTGAGAAGTTAAGAACAAATATCACAAATATTTTCCAAGCAAATGTAAGTACCAATTCAGTTTAATAGAGTTGTATCAAAATGTTATATTTATATTTAGAAAACCAAGGTTTTACAAATTAAAAATTAAATTCAAACCAGAAAACGTTTCAAGTCAAGTGCATTGTGCATTGTGGTTTGAGAATTGATTACAATATTAGACATAAACTTGTCAAATATTGTAAGATTTAATACTTGAAATCAATATTTACAAATATTGTAAGATTTAATTACTTGAAATCAATATTTACAAATATTGTAAGATTTAATTACTTGAAATCAATATTTACAAATATTGTAAGATTTAATTACTTGAAATCAATATTTTGTAAGATTTAATTACTTGAAATCAATATTTACAAATATTGTAAGATTTAGTTACTTGAAATCAATATTTACAAATATTTCCACTAGAGAAGAAATGTCACATTTCAGTAAATAATTAGTTCTCAAATGCATTCAATATTTTGAATAAAATTTTAATTTTATAAATAATTTTTGACAAAATTATTTTATTATTGTCAAAATTATTCGCAAAATATTTTCTTGAAACCAAAATTTTCCCTAGTTAATTAAGAAATTGTATTATATTTAATATATTTAAGAATTAAAAGTTAAACCCTACGGTTATATAAAATAAAACGTTGCAAGCCACGTGGTCTGAGAATAATATTTGGTTTCAAATTCAGCACAATCATTATTTACAATATTTTCAATTATTTCCAGTAGAGAGGAAATATCACAATACAGATCGAACGTACTTGTTTCTCAGATGCATTTCATTGTTTTAAACAGTTTATGATTTAAAGTAATTATTTACATCAGCATTAGAAATAAAATGTTTCTTATGGTCAAAATATTTATAGTTTTTTTTTGTCTGCTGTATTAAGAAATACATTTTAAGGAGTGATTAAAGAATTTGGGGTAATAAATACCTTGTTGTTGTGCAGTAGATAATTGAGGTTGATCACTGTGCATTTTCTCCTTCTTGTTCTGGTTCGGAATATATTTAGGTGTAGAGTTGGGTCTAACCTTCATCTTGTTTCGCTTTATATTAGTTCTCTTCACCTAATCATTCAAACATGCAATTAATTAAGTTTGAATAAGTACTGATACAATCCAATAAAAAAGATCGAAAAAACGGCAATGTATTTAGATGCATGTTTTTTTTCAACAGGAGATTGAAAAATAAAACCTTATCAGTTTCAATTTTTTTTTACTTGAAAAAATAAATATATAACTAATAACTATAAATAACAAAACTGAGTTTGAACAATTCAAAGAGAGGACACCAAAAGTTCACGGGCAAGCGGAACCACAGAAATGATTATAGTTTGATACCTGATTTGTTTTAAGCTTTCATTAAACTTAAAATACTGAACACTGCGATTAAAAAGCTCTACAAACAGTTTTTTGGGGATTTTTATAAATATATATCTCTCAATTGGTTGGACCGATCTTAATGAAACTTTAGGATTAGATAGCAATTATCTATTATCACACTTTTGTTTTTCNTTCCTTTCTGAACTTATTTGAGAAAGAATAAACCCCTGTTATAAATTTTTAAAAAACCACCTATTTTTCTTTAAAGATCTCAGCAAACCATTAAAAACAATTCACCTGAGATATTTTTTTCTTCCCTCCCCCAACCTTCTTCTTCTTAGGCCCAGGGACCTTCATTTTGCCTGAAATGCGGGAAAAAATCATTTTAAATCCGCAACTCATACCGACCGGTTTAAAAGCACAGAAGAAAACTGCTTTAAGTTAAACATTTAGAGATGAGCAACAGCGCCTATAGCCCTCTTATTTACAAAAAACAGCGCAGAAAAATATAAAACACTATTTAGGTGACTGGCTGTTTTACATCTACTAAGTGTGGAGTTGTAAATATCACAAAAACCCGACTAAAAACACATCGAACTTGAGGTTTAAAAATATTTCGAAATTTGTGTGTACATAGATGTTGGTTATTTGGCCTCGTCCTACTCAACGTCCTCGATCTCGAGGCTGGCCCCGCGCTCCTCGGCGCCCTGGCCACGCATCAAGGAGGACATTAACGAACTGGAAGCATGCACGCGCACTCTCTGCTGTGCAACCTAAATAAATATTAATATTAGATCCGGGTTAAGATGAAATCTAAAAGCAAAATAAGGTGGATTCAAAGAAAATTTGAGAAGAATTATCCCAAAAATTAATTATGAAGATTTAGCACGAAAAAAACTAATACAAAATTGGACCTGCACTGCCAAATGACAAATCCCACCAGTTGATACTTTAGCCTCAAAAGATCCTTTATTAAGCCAAATTCAAGAGAAAAAAAACCGTTTAATCATCTTAATACACTGAAAAAAATAGGGGGGGGGGGGATTGTTTGAAAAAGATATTTACCCTTTTTAGTGGGTATACATTACAACATTTAACTATTTTTTAAAAAAATTTAACATCATAAAAAGTCAATTAATCCAATAATAGATGTTTAATAATGCAAAGTTAAGGATTGAATTTATTATTGAGAATAACTGGATCTTATTAGATTTTGAATTGAATTGTTGTTAGCTCTATAGATTTATACAAAAAGACAGGAATGTATATTTTCCAGTGCTTAGGATACATTTGATTTTGATGCGGATCCGTGGAAAAAAATGGATCCGGATCCAAATCACGGATCCAGGTCAATTATTTAAGATTTACTGAAATTTTTTAACAAAGCAGAATTCTCAAATTTTTGTTTTATATTTTTTACCTTATTTTTATGCTAAAAATTGATGAACCATTCAGAAATCGGGAAATTTGAATTTTTTTTTTATACAATTTACCCGAAATTTTATTTATTTTCCCCAATTAAAATAAATACCGGGGAGGAAAAAGTGAGTTTTAAATAGGGGGGAGGGGGGATGATTCTTCAATATAATTTACACCCCAGGATTTTAATTTATAAAAAGGAAGAAAATGGCAATAAATTTGTTTGTTTTACCTCTAAATTCTGTAGGAGTAGATGATATATTTGCGGGGGAAGGGTCTGCTGTAGAACTGAGAGAAGAGAATGAGGCTGACCGCACACAGCTACAGCCAGGGATAGATGCTCAACACCGTTCTGAATATCTCCTGTAGCAAGGAGTTCCTCTCCTAGCTGGACCTCCTGAATATTGGAAAATATATATCAATATCAATTCAATTAAAAGAAATATAAAATTATATTAAATAGCCATTTTTTCAATGAAATTAACTAGCTTTATACAAAACTTTTAAAATCTAGAGAACTTTTCTTATAAAATTGTTTACTTAAGTCAGAAGAGGCAAGATGATTTTACTAAATAAATATCAATTTTCTATAAGAAAATTTTTAGTTCTAATTTAACCGGTCAACAATTTCTGGAGCGAACTCCTGAAAAAAACCTCTTCAAGGGACTGTAACTAAAAAGATAGATAGATAAACATATATTTAGATAGGTGGATAGATTAATTGATGGAGTCCGATTCACAACAAAACCCTGAAGGCTTTCTGAACAAGTCTGAATTTGATATTCATGTCAATAATATTGAAATTTTAATTGTAGTATCTTGACAAAATTAGCTTGCAGATTTTAACTGGAGAGAATTCAGATAAATACTCTAGAAAAACGACAATATCTTCCACATTCTTGATCAGATAACATTTTTAAGCAGTGCTTTGGATTCATTTAATTTTAATGCGGATGCAGATCCAGGTTATTTCTTCATTTACTGAATTTGTTTAACAACGCAGAATTTTCTAATTTTTTTGTCTTATTTTTTTCCCGCTTATTTTTATGCTAAAACTTGTTGAACCATTCAGAGATCAGGACATTTTTATAATTTCTCTCTTTTTTCAATAGTTTAAATTTGGAGTTTTAGAGTTAACATTTGTTTTTTGCAGTTCATATTTTGCCACCTGGATCCGGATCCGTGGATCCGCATATTTTTGCGGATCCGGATTCAGGCAGTCAAAATGTTGCGGTTCCAAAACGGATCCGGATTCTAAGCACTGGTTTAGAGGGTACCGACCGTTGTATATCGGGCATTGCCACTTTTGAATACAAAGTCACTTAAATTTCACTTCAACGAATTCCAAGCCGAGTCCGACAGATATACTAGTTTTCAAAAAGGACTGTCAACGTAATTTCGTTAGACTCAAAAACTAATGAATGCCATGTTAAACATTTCAAAAAGGACTGTCAACGTAATTTCGTTAGACTCAAAAACTAATGAATGCCATGTTAAACCTTTCAAAACTAGATTATTTGAAATCAAGGTCGCAAGACGTCAATCTATTAAGTATACACACAATCATAAAAATTAAAGATTAATGCACCGTTGTAAATTATTTCTGGCTTTTTGTTTAAATATCAATTTTAACCTTTTCACATTTCTTAGGGTCACAATGCTTGACAGGCTATAAAAGTATTTTCAAATTTCACCAAGAAGCTTTTTATCAAATCATTTAGAAAATTTACCTGAAGGAAGAATCTTTGAACAGCTTCTTGATCCCCGAAATCAGGAAGAGCAGGACCGCTGGAGCTAGCACCCTTGGAATTAGCTTTCCTTTTCTCACGGAGCTTCCTTCTAAAGTCAGGGTGGGATCTGCGCCTGTTATCGAAGTATATACAATACCCTAGGAAAGCAGCTGTGCCTAGTCCTGCCCACAAACCAAGGGATTTACTGCTTAGATCCAACATTATTTTCTGTAAATACTAATTACGGTCAACATTAAATATTCAAGTGCCAAGAAACGATCTCAACGAAGTCAATTTAAAATTTAAATTCATTTTGTAACTAACAGTATAATTTTTTGATTTGGATGAGGACTAGAGAAATATATAAATATTATTAAATATTCAATAAAATTTAATGAGTTAAAAAATATAAATTTACCGAATCAAAGCCAAAAACTATTTTTTTGGGGATTTAGAATACATCTTTTTTAAACGAATTCTACTTACTGGCAAATTAAAATTTTAATTAAGGAATATCAACGTGATGGGAGCTTGCCATAATAATTTTTTTTTTCAAATACTATAGACTAATCTAACAGGTACAAAGATTACAAAATTATTATTCTAACATTTCTTTTTGGCACTAATAGCTCTTCCCACTTTTGACATTGTTTCCCGTTTCAAAGCCTGAGAAATAAAATTTCCGGCCGCGGCGACTTTGTTCAGGTCCACTCCTGTCGACAGCCCTAGTCCCTGAAGCATGTAGAGAACGTCCTCCGTCGCCACATTTCCAGAGGCTCCGGCTGCATATGGACAACCTCCTAGACCAGCTGTACTTGAATCAACAACTCTTACACCGAGTTCGAGCGAGGTTAAAATGTTAGCTAGGGCTTGTCCATATGTATCATGGCAGTGTACAGCAAGGTGTTCTACAGGTACCCGGCTAGTAACAGAGCGCAGCATTGTGCGAAATGATCCAGGAGTTCCAACCCCGATAGTGTCGCCGAGAGATATCTCATAGCAACCCATCTCATACATTCGGGCAGAAACCTCTGCTACTATTTCAGGATTTATTAATCCTTCGTAAGGGCAGCCAACTACACAGGAGACATAACCTCGAACTTTTACATCATTGGCCTTGGCTGCGGCCATTACGTCATTAAATCGGTTGAGACTCTCGCTAATGGTGCAATTAATATTCTTTTGACTAAAACTCTCTGATGCGGCGCCAAAAATTGCAATTTCTTTGGCCCCTGACTCTAAGGCAGAGTGAAATCCCTTTAGATTTGGGACTAGAACTGGATATGAGACATGTCCATGTGGGAGTTTATTTACAGCTCTGAGGACCTCTTTATGATCTGCCATTTGAGGAACCCATTTCGGTGATACAAACGATGTCGCCTCGACGTGAGAAAGTCCGGCGGCAGCCAATCTGTCGATAAATTCAATTTTAGTATGAGTTGGGACGATAGTTTTCTCGTTCTGAAGTCCGTCCCGTGGTCCAACTTCGACAATTCTTACTTTGTCGACACGGGAGCAGAAGCGACGCATTGGAGATATTAGAACCCCTGACCACACAGGGCGACTCACTTTCATTTTGAAATTCTAAGAACTTTTATATTGTTAGATTTTATACGTTTAAAATAATATTAAAAATGTAATAGTCAAATGTCGTCCTAAAGAGTGGTGATGTCAGCTCAGCCCCCCCCCCCCCCTGAGGATAGTGAAATCTGTGGTTTTATGGGTTTCTAGTGACAGCATAGACAACATACACTTATGAAGAATAAAAATGGACCACCCCCCTCCTATCAATTTTGAAAATGGATCTCATACGTAACACATTTACAAGATTGGTCATGTGGCCGAAACGCCCGCCCCCTAGCCTGTCCTAGCCACGGCGCTCGGCCCACAAAGTTTACAGCTCGATTCTTTAATCAAGCTGTAACTTGCTTTGACTCTGACTATAACTTGAGATTTTAAACAGCCTCTAACCTATGAATTTTCTTACATAAACTATGTGAAGTTTTTTATAAAAACTTGGCAACGTATTGCAAGTTGAGTGTAAATATTCACGTATCAGTATTTTTTTTAATTTTTTGATCACACGATGCCAGAATGCCGCAAACTATTTTCTAACACTTATTTCAGCGCATGCGCACTTAACGATTTTTATTATTTGATCTTAATCGTCTTCTGTCACAAAGTTGAGAGCTCCTAAAAACTATTAAGAACTAGACGCGGCAGCCGAATTCAGCGCCAAAAAGAAATTACGTAATCAATGGATTTTTCCACACAGATATAATTATGTTCAAAGGTCCTCTCTTATAATCTTATATTTCTTTATTTCATTTTTCATTCCTTCGTAATTCTATTCTTTAATTTTTAATCTTGGTTTTTTTGCTTTTATTTTTCTTTTTTAGATGAAAAGTTAAAACATTAATTCGTTTTCTTCATTTTCATTTTTTGTTTTGTTTTAAGATGAAAAGTCTAATTATATGCTAAATTCTTATCGGAAGGGTCTGTCATTGCCACTTTTGAATACAAAGTCACTTAAATTATATCGGAATAAGTTCATGAATTTCCGATAATTTACGAGGAACTTTGTTTGTTTGTTTGCTGAAAATTAAACCCATCACGATTATTCCACATATTGGAGAGTGCTACGAAAAGTAGGACTGTACATATATATGATATTGTTTGATTTTTTCGTTGTTTAATAAAGTTGATAAGAAGGATTTTTCGAAAACCGAGCACCGGAAAGGCCCACCAAATTTTTTCGTAGATACAGTTTGATGGTAGGGTTGTGGATGGATGATCGTAAATTTCGTAAAAAGTACTAGGGTCTGTCGAACGATTTTTGGACCTTCCCCGAGCCCCCCCCCCCCCCCCCCTCCTATCAATTTTGTACATGACCATTTATTTTTCAGCAAATTTATTATTATCTATTTTTTTGCTCTTTAGGATTAGGTTAGGTTAGGTTAGGATACTTTCTGGGCCGAGCGCTGCGGCTAGGATGGGCTTGGGGGCCGAGCGCTGCGGCCACGGGTTAGGATAAGTTAAGAAACTTCCTGTCAGACCCATGTACAAAATTGATAGGAGGGGGGGGGGGGGGTCCAAAAATCGTTCTCTAGGAATTTACCAAAGTATTATGGTTGTACAATTAAAATCACAGCTTTTACAATCCCAGCTCAGGACAGATTCCCAAATTCTTCAGAGTGATTGTACCTCTTGTACCAGACTTAATAAAACATGGAACTATCACAGGCCAACCTTGAAGAGTCAGCTTCTCATCATCAAAACTTAAGTATGCGTTTTTTCTTTTGAATTGGTGCCAGCCGTTGATTTTACTTAGATCTAAAGAGGGTTATTTCCTAGAGGATTTTGACCCCCTTTTCATAAAAAATGTACGTGATCAAAGAATGACTTGTGGCCGCAGCGCCCGGCCTCCTAGCCGAAGCACTCGGTCCAGAATTGTCAGAATTGGCATGTCTTAATCTAACTTAACTCTGGAATAATACAAAATATACCATTAACAGTGGGGGTTGGGTCAAAACCTTTTTTACAGATTTTGTGATTCTTTTAACAGAAGAAGAATTTTATAATTATTTTTCCCTTTTTTCTCTCATATTTTTGCTAAAACTTGATGATTTAAACCTGTAATATAAGATTTTCATCAGTTGATATTTGGACCCTTGGATCCGTATATTTTTCCAGATCCGGATCCAGAAAGCCAAAATGTTACGGATCCGGATCTTAATCACTGCCTGCAGGGATCTAACTTGAATCATAGGCTCAAGCATTGGTTCTTAAATTTAAAAGTGCCTCCATTGGATAACAAGATCAAGCATTCAAAATTATCAAACTAAATCTACACTACAGTTCTTATCTCTATTCTTCAAATCGTAATTTTTAAAGAATATTTAAATGGATAAACAATTTCTCTCTCTGTTTCGTAATGCCCAAGAATTTCAAAGGTCTAATAAAAGAAGAATAATAAAATCTTAAAAATTTGAGATTTCATAGCAGTTTTTTATTTTCAGAAAACCTGTTGTCCTGCCCTATTTGCTTGGATTTATTTGTCTCTCCGTCCAGAACAAAGTAAGCGGTTATCCAACATACATGTTTTATCATTACTGACATTTCGTCCAAACGTCTGTTACACTATTTTTCTTCAACAAAATGTTAATTTCTTTGAGGATCTTAAGATCTTGATTGCTGTTTTGCTGACGTATGAAATTTATCGTGCTTTTTCCCGGCGGAATAGAAGATCCACGATTACATTCGGGTAATTCGAGATGTCCACCCAACAAGATAAATATTTAGTGTTTGATAAATAAAATTACAACGCAAAATTTTGATGTATAGATTTAGAGAATAAAAACTCAAGTCTTTTACAAGTCGTGATTTTTTAAATGTATCTGTGTTCATGTGTTCTGTAAGTCCTGTATTGAATATCATATAAGAAAATGTATACAGTTGTGTTCATGTGTTCTGTAAGTCCTGTATTGAAGATCATGTAAGAAAATGTATACAGGTGTGATCATGTGTTCTGTAAGTCCTGTATTGAAGATCATACAATAAAATGTATACAGTTGTGTTCATGTGTTCTGTAAGTTCTGTATTGAAGATCATACAATAAAATGTATACAGGTGTGATCATGTGTTCTGTAAGTCCTGTATTGAAGATCATATAAGAAAAGGCAAAAAGAAGATTCGCTGTCCACTCTGCAACACTCCTGGTCTTAATAAAAGGTAAAATAGGATAAATTGGCAGTTTTTGTGATATAATTTTTCTATAAAAAAAACGAACTTTTTTCCCATTTTGAGAAATTTAACTTATCACTAAGATATTGAGATCCAATCGTAAATCACTACCAAAAAAGTATGATATCTAACTTTTTGATGACAGCAAAAACTTTCAACGTAAGAGTTGTTCACAATTTTTAATGAATACTGGTTATGTAGCTGGTAGTTAAAATTGCACCCCGCGACCGGAAAATTGCACTCCGCGACCGGCGGTTCCCCGGCGCTCTAACACCTTTGTACGTCCAACAACAATACTAAAATGATGAAAATCCGTGAACTATCTGAAGAAACATTACAGAACTGGATGTATAGAATTTCTAATAATCATCCCTAAGGAAAATTTGTAACTTAGGCTCCCGCAATACATTTATAGAGTTAAATGTCCGATACAGAACGATATCCTGACTTAAGATTTTATGTTTTTATCGTTAAAAATTGAATTTTTAGTTGTGGTTTCTATTAAAAAGTTCCGTGCGCATTTCCGCTTTACTGCGTTACAGAAAACAATAGAGATTCCTTCATAAAGCAAGCACTATTGAAGCTAGAAAAATTGACGACATCTTTCACATTATTGATCAGATAAAAGTATAAAGCATACCGTTGTAAATTGGGCATGCAGCTTTTTGGAATGGAGGATCACTTTTCAATTTAGAGGATTAGAGATGGATACAACGATGTCTCAGTTGGTAGATCTCATGAAAAAGTTAATCGAAGCAGAACGAGAAGATACCAACGGAGAGGTGAAGTTTATCTCATTTTCTTTACTGACAAAGGGTCAAACGACATTGGGTCAACCAACAAACGGTCAAAAACATGACAAAGAGCAGAAATGACAAAAATATTTTAAATTTTTTCTATAATTTTTTTATTTTAATACAGTGGTACGCGATTATATCAATAAAATGAAGACCATTTTCTATTTAAGTTTTGATTGTAGACAAGCTTTTATCGAATTACAAGTTTAAAGTAATCAAAGAAAAGCTTTTTTAATTGATAGCTTTCCCTGACTTCTATGTTTATGTGGATCCGTACTGTTTAACAGCTTGATATAAATCAAAATTGAAATGGTAAGTCGTCTTCATTGTATTTTTATAATTGCCTACCACTGTATTTAGATAATATGCTGTCTCACCTTATTTTGGGTTGGGTTAGGTTAGGTTAGTATAGGTTAAAACAGTTTCTGGGCCGAGCGCTGCGGCTAGGATGGGATAGGGGTCGGTTGCGGCATCTCAAATGTTAAATAATATGCTGACCTCGCGTTATTTCGGGAAGGTTAGGGTAAGAAAGTTTCTGGGCCGAGCGCTGTGGATAGGATTGGCTAGGAGGTTGAGTGCTGCGGCCTCTTAAATTTTAAATATTTTTTTCCCGCTTGTCGCACTTTTTGACCCTATGTCGTTTTACCCTTGGTCTAGTTTTTGACCCTATGTCTTTGACCTAGGTCGTTTTACTATATGTCGTTTGACCCTAGGTTCTTTGACCCTAAGTCGGTGAATCATCTATTCAAATAGATTGTTAAATAAAGTAAAATAAAATATTTTTTTAATGTTTCAGATTGACTTCATGAATGTTAGGGTTCGAAGGTAGGATTTTTTTAATTTAAATAAATATTTTGATAATTTAATTTGCTCTCAATCCACCATTGGGATTTTTTATACTCCCTTTTTCAAAATAGAATTCTGTTCCATTTTTCTAACAAAATATTCTATGCATAAAACGATTAAATACGGTTATCAACAATCTGCAAGATTTCAATTTTCAATTTGCATTTTTGTCCATGGTGATTTCCCTATACTCCATTTATTAAATTTAAATTCTGGGAAATTTTTCTAACAATAAAATAGTCAATGCCAGAAACGACTAAGAACGGTATTATTTGTCAATTATCAAGGATATCACGTGGATGTTCAAAGCAACGAAGCAAACAAGAAATGACAGTGGTTAACTCCAATACTTCAACCTAACATTCCCCTTTTCAAGTCCTGAATGACAATTTCCTTATAATTGTACTCCATTTATTCGACTATCTTTCTGTTCGAATTTTCTGATAGTTGGTTCCAAAAACAATCCACAATCGTATTTTTGTTAAGTATTAACTATCTCTGGAAGAGGAGCATTTGATTAACATAAAATAAATGAAATTTTGTCAGAGTTGGTTCCAGAGAGAGTAATGGAAGTCCTTTCAAACCTGGAGAATCCAAGTGGACTCCAGTCAAAGAAAAACTTACAAAGGTAAAGATCTAAAAATATATTTTTGCTAAAAAATCTTGGATCCGGGTTCTTTTATTTAGGGCGGATCCAGGATCCAGATCTGCGTCAAAATTAAATGGAATTCAACCACTGATTCTTAATTGGAATTGGTTGTCTTTTTTTAGTTGGGTTGGACACAATAAACGTCACAACGGGAGAACCTATTTATATTGTCAAAAATTTTGTGATAACTCACATTACCTTGGGAAGGGGTCGGTCAAAAGTACCAAAATAAATCAATTTGATCAATTAAGATTTGTTTCCAGGCAGGGAGAGAAGTCTGGCACAAGAATAAGCGAGGAACAGCTAAAACTTACTCAAGAGCTAGAAAAGGTAAACTCCGCAATTTAGTCATTTTATGACAACCTGAAATTATACACGATCAAAATCTGTGACCTGTAATAATTATAGTTTGTAGTAAAATAAAAAAAATAAAAAAAATAGGGAAAAGTAAATTTGATAAAATCATAATGACGGAATAAAATTTGATAAGTTGTCAGTCATATTATTCACGGTTTCAATACTTTGCCTTTTTCAATCACCTCCATATATTTTTTAAATACAGAGACATTAATTATGTGGGGGGGGGAGGGTGCTCATTAACTTCTGATTATTCATTAAATTTGCTATTTTAAGTCGATCTAATCAGATTAATTGATTATCGAACAGACACACAGAGATTACAACTTTATTTATACAGATAAGAAAGAAATGAGTATTTACGATTTTGTTTTGGTTAAGATCGGTTCCAAGACGAGGGTAGTCAAGTCTACCCTGGAGAAAGGGTCGAGGGGGACCAGGACACCTTCATACTCCAGGCAGAGGTTAATCGATTTTAGAAATCATTTCGGAAGATTTTTGAGAGAAAAAAGATCAGATACTAGGCTTCGATTTTGACTTTATTTGTTGCTCTTTTATCGATTTAGTCTTGGATCTTGAAAAATCTAAATATAAATTAAGGCAAATTATTTTCAAATCTAACATTCCATAAACCTTTCTTTATTGGGATCATGTGAGGTCCCACTAAAAGTTTGGGCCCGATCGGTTCAGCCGTTTTGACGTTTATCGGTTTCAAACAAACAGACAAGCAAAGTATATGAATATATGATTACTCCCCGGGTAAGTGTTCATCTGAGTGAACATTGTTCACTCGTTACACCCAGAAAATGCCACATAACAACAAATAGACAAACAAAAAGTATCTTAGTTCATAATATTTGCCTCAAAAAGCACTTAATTCTCGAAAATTGCCACAAATCGAGGTCTTACTCCTGCCACAAAATTTCTAAATGAACCACGGTCCCCGGGGGTGCATAATTCAAAGAATTTTTAAGAAGGGGGGGGGGATGGTTTTGTAGATCTGGTCGGAAAAATGAAAATTTCTTTAATAGGCAAATTTTATCACAATCAACTTATTGCTGTGTCTTTTTAGATTTCTTAAACTCTCACATACGTTTCAATAATGATGTTATAATCTAAGTTTGAAGAAATCTTGAGAAAAAGGAATCGAGTTTTTGCCAAAACTTATTTTCTTATCCTCATATATTTGTAATTTGATTTTTCAAACTATTTAAATATTATTTATTTTCCCAAATACAACTAAAGAAAACATGACTTTTTTCATTTTCTATAAAATATACAGGGGTTGCTATTCCTCCTGTTTCTGCCAAAGAAAAACTTGTTTTGTTTCCCTTGTAAACTATTAATTTCCCACAAATTCAAAAATTAAAATTTGTCTGTTTTATTAAAATATATAACTCCGACTTAAGGACAAGGCTATTCAACTTCCGCTGGTGGATAAACAAGACATGGTTCAACATTGGCTAACAGATGAGAACAGAATGTCCGGTATTATTTTTAAATCATAATTCAGAAATTAATTTTATTAAAATTAGTGCTTAGGATTCGGATCCAAGGGCAAAATATTAACCAAAAACTGCAAAACAAGATCTCACTTTCAAAACTAAATCTGAACTGTTGAAAAAAGAGAGATTATCAAAAATTTCCTTATCTCTGAACTAACGGTTCATCTAGTTGTTGCATAGAAATAATTGAAAAGAGAGATTATCAAAAATTTCCTTATCTCTGAACAAACGGTTCATCAAGTTGTTGCATAGAAATAATTGAAAAGAGAGATTATCAAAAATTTCCTTATCTCTGAACTAACGGTTCATCTAGTTGTTGCATAGAAATATTTGAAAAGAGAGATTATCAAAAATTTCCTTATCTCTGAACTATCGGTTCATCTAGTTGTTGCATAGAAATATTTGAAAAGAGAGATTATCAAAAAATTTCCTTATCTCTGAACTAACGGTTCATCTAGTTGTTGCATAGAAATATTTGAAAAGAGAGATTATCAAAAATTTCCTTATCTCTGAACTAACGGTTCATCTAGTTGTTGCATAGAAATAATTGAAAAGAAGGGAAAAAAATAATTCGAAAATTCTTTTTCTGTTTAAAAATCAGTAAATTATAAATTAATTTTCATGACCTGGATCCAGGATCCGCATTAAAATTTAATAGATCCTAAGCACCAATTGAAATAAAACAAATATTATGAATCTGATAAGGTACACGGACAAGTAGGAATGATTTAATATCATTAATGAATAAATTTACTTAAGACTCTTTTCTGTCATTATTATTAAAGAAAGTTTTATATAAAAAAATAAATATTCCTTAAATTGATCTCGAAAAATCATGATATGTCGAGTTTACAAAATTAGATGAATAATATTGTTCTGAACTCCGAAAGTCCACTGTACTACAAATTTTAAACAAATAATAAAAACCTGTAAATTAATCTGGTTTGTTAAGGTAAGTTTGTTGACCTCTCAAGTCAGCCTGCCGATTTCAGGGGAGAATCCACCCCCCAACCTTCAACTTCAGGGGAGACTGTGCCCTCACCCGACACCCCTAACATAACCCCTCTTCCTTATCCAAGGAAATTCTTTAAAACCCGAGGAGTTACACCAGGTACATTTTATTACAGGGGTGTATATATTTTCTTCAAAAATCATTCCCCCACCCCCTTTGAAAATCAATTTACTCCTAGAAGCTATATATTTTTTTAGGGATTTATTCGCTGAATAGGGGAAAATCTATGATTTTTAGGGGAAGGGGGGGGGATTTTCAATAGAATGTATGCTTCCTAAAATTTTAGAGGAAGGGGGGGGGATTTTCAATAGAATGTATGCTTCCTAAAATTTTAGGGGAAAGGGGGGGATTTTCAATAGAATGTATGCTTCCTAAAATTTTAAATAATGGAATCCCAAGTAGATATAAATCGTACGATATAATGTTTACATGAAAAAGATCAGATCTACATTGTATCTTATTCTTTATTTAGCTCTGTCAAAAAAACTACTGACATCTGTACCAACACCACCTTCAAGCAGTGCAGGGATGGGTAGAGGGGCTCCACCTTTAACCAGTGCAGGGAGGGGCAGAGGACGGGGAAGAGTAAGTGCAAGTGGCCGAGGGAAGAAAAAATCCTCCAGTCCTGTCAACCTTCCGAGCTCCTCATTTGATATATCGCAGGTTTGTAAATTTTCCTTCATATTTTTTAATTTTTTGCCACTGACAGGGTTTCTGAGAGGATGAGACTGTATGGACAACTATCAACTCTTTAAATATAACAACATGACGGTTAAATTAACTGAGAATTTCACTTATTATACTAAATGATTTAGCTTAGCATAAAAAACAAGAATGTAGGGTAACAGTTTAAAAAAAATCTGTAAAGTTGTCGTTGAAGTCTCATCTGTGGGGTCTGGGTACTGAGTAACCCTATGGATACTATACCCCTTTAAATTCTTTTTATTAACCGGTTTACTCCTCCACCTTAATTTCTTTTTCTTGGATGCATAAAAGACATTTTTACAAAGAAACTGCAATTGAAAATGTTAAATTTTGACCTAGGAAACTAGGAATTATCCGTAATCAGACATTTTTTAATGTTTTAATGTTGTCATTTGATTTGATCGGACTTAACACTGTACAACTTAACAAATAGAAACTTCAGGAAACTTGAGATAATATTACTGTTCAGGATTTGCCAACGATAAGCCAGGCTGTAGATGTGAACAATACCTTTGATAAACTTTTCACAGATAAAATTACAACAAAGCCGCCCCAGCAGAATAAGGTCTAATTTTTTAATGGGTACACTTGGAGACATTGGGCTGTGTCTGTCAAAAAATTAGAATTAGCCCAGATTAACTTTAGAGCTGAGATTTAAAAGATTAAACCAAAATAAAACCCGGCTTAAGTGTTAATTTACGCCCAAGTGAAGACTCGAGTTTTAGTTAGACTTTGTTTCAGAGAAAACCTACGACCTAGTTTTAGTTTATGTTCGGTCGGGCTTAACTTTAAAATCTCAGCTTATGATAGATAACTCAGATGTTTCTACTGTTTTTGATATAATATTTGTCTGGTCTGTGAGTTTGTTTCTTCTTATTATATGTCGAAACGGCTGAACCAATTGACACGATTTTCATTTCTGTATTTGACATGGCCACTGGCCAGGGATGGAGTAAGGCCGGTTGGGATTTTCAAATGCCCTGAAAGTAATGTTCTTGTTCTTGTTTCAGACTCCTCAATTAAAACAAAAAACCGCGAATTTTTTTATGTTATACAAATTCTTACTTGAAAAAAAGAAAATTAAACATTCCCTTTAAGTGCATTTATTAAAGGGACTGTTCAGCTTAATTTTATGTGACCCTCCATGCAAAGATGGCAATGCCAGATTTACAATGGTACCCTTGAAAGCTTTGTCTAATCAAGTAAGAATTATAAATCCATGTGTTTGTTTCGAAAACTGTTATATTAGTTTAAGGCTTCTCTGCAAAAGTAACTTGCGCTAATTGCTTTTTTTTCTTATAGCAAAGACTCGAGAAAATATCCTTCAAACACTTATCGAGTCAGAATAATGACATCTAGGATGAGGTTATAGTTTTAATGACACCGCTGTAAATTGGGCATTGTCATCTTTGGATGAAGGGTCACTGAAAATCACGGTTACAGTCCCTTTAAGTTGTTTAATTTGTTTAGAAGAGTACAGCTGCTGGTCAAGCTAAACATAAACCTGGAATATTCTGGTCTCAAGTCTCCGACCTAGACTCTAGCTTGGAACTCTTAGCTCCGGATACTACAGAGACTTTGATACACTCGCTCAACTCTCCGAATATACTAGGTTAGTCAAAACCGGTGGTATCAGGTGCAGGGGTATATTTTTTCAAGATAAACCCCCTCCCCCTGAAATGATTTTTTTAATTCGACATTTATGTCTTGTAAGTTTATTTCAATAAGCTCTTCAGTGTAAAAACTTCTAAATCAAAGAGGAAAAAAATATCAGTATATGCAAAGAATCATAATGAATAAGAAATAAGATAACTGAAATTCGAAAGGCAAAGTCTAAAATTTTCACAGCCCATTAATGCATTAATTTCTCCAATTAAAGGAAAGAAATCTCCAAAAGAATACATTTGAGGACGAATGGGGATGGGGGGGGACCAATGATAACCATGTACAAAATTGGTAGGAGGTGGGGTCCAAAAATCGTTCTTTAGAAAATTACCAAATGATGTTGTTTTTCTAAGTTTAAACGTGTTAAATTATAATAAATTCTATGTTTTCCTGTAGGGAACCTGCAATTGAAATTAATAGTTTTTAAAACTATAAACATTGATATCTTATTCGCACTTGATCCCAGTATTTAAGGGCACCATTGTGAATCCTGAATTGCCATTTTTACACGGAGGGTCACTTGAATTAACGCTAACAGTCCCTTAGAATATTATTTCTAGCTCCGACTGGTTTGGATGAAGATGAACGAAGGAAGAAGTATTCGGGGAAAACTCTGACAGAAATGCTAGAGGAAGGATTGAAAGCAGAAAAGGAAGAACGGGAGAAAAGAAAACGAGTCTCGTGGCAGGATACTCCCAAGGTAGAGCCATATAATAATAATTCCCGATAGATAAATATAGTTTGAAGGATTATGAACCTAAAATTTGCATATTTTGCCCCTGGACCCCGAACCAAGAGACAAAATGTTTCCCAGCTTTTTGTTCTTAAAATATGGAATTTGCAAGTATTAACTTCCCTTTATATCTCCTCGCTAGCCATTCGAGTTTAATAAAAGAACCGGTTTGTCTGAGAGAGAAAGTCGTCTTTGTAAAAATGTGCTAATTTGTTGAATCATGATTGAACACGACAAACGTTAATTTCTTGCTAATTCTAAAATCATAAATTTTCGTATTTTATTACTTAATGACTGACACATTTTGATTTATCGGGCTGTTGTTACTGAAAAAAAAACGGTTAAATAGTGTCCATGCAAAGGTATCATACCTTTCCGCTGGAATTCTAAACGATAAATCGGCTTTTTCTGCGATCATAAATATATTTAAAAATAAGACTATTATACCAATGAACACCTTGTAGGCTAATTAGTTTACCATGAAATTACCCAAATTAGTGGACGATCCCTGTAATGACCCGAAACTTAACCAAGAGAATTGAATAGAATTAAATTATTCATTAATCATGAAAAATAATAATCGTTTTTTGTTTTAATTAGCTAATTTTTTGACACAAGGAAAATAAGAATTGTGTTGTTCAGGAAGTTGAGAATAATAATGCCGAGGATAAAGTTGAAGAGGTAACTGTGGTTCCAGAAACACCTCTTGACAAACCCCCAAAGCTTCCTTTATCCAAGACTAATCTGATCTCTGAAAGCTTTGAGAGTCTGCAGAAACCTGGACATCCATCCAATCTAGAGACTGAATCCTTCCCAAGTATTATCTCCGGGTCCCAGGAGGATACCAACAGGAGTTTGAGGAAATCCTTCCTGCTAGATGTTGATACTCAGGAACTCAAGGTAGCAATTTAATACGGATAGTTACTGTGTTTTTTTTTTTGGGGGGGGGGGAGTTGAAAAGTTAATGTTTTTTTCTGAAACCTCCACAGTGAACGTTTTAAAAGTTATTCAATAAGTGCTCATAAGATAGAAACTTATTTAGGCTTCAATGGAAACTTCCAATTAGAAAGAGTGAGTGAATCTTACGGAGAGGTTTAAAAATGGCTTTCCCTTGATATTAAGAATTGTAAAATGGAATATTACCTAGGAGAATGCGGAACCAATGGATACTCTAGAACTGATTCAAGAGCTCTCAAATTCAGAAAATAAGGAAAAAAGGTAGTTTTTACAGTGCATTGAAATGAATATTTTCTTTGGTGTAAGTGTTATTTCTAACCACATGGCTAAATGGTAGCATCTGCAAGCTCCATTTTAAGATGTTCAAAGGCCGAATTTAAAGAATTTGAGTAGCAGCCTTAATTTGAGACACGGCTCAAATATAGTTTGTTTCATTTAAAATTCTATTCAATGTTTTAAGATTTAAACCGACGCTCAATTTAAACCGGTTTTTGGAAGATTTGAGACGCGGCTCAAATTCATTAAATTCGGACTCTAGTAAGATAAGTGGATTAACTATGTCTCTCGCTGTACATCAACTCTTGAATAGCGAGACATATCTAAACATTGCACGCTTTGTTAAACCACTTCTCTTGTGCACCGTTTCAAACATGTTGTTGCGGTTCAACCATGTCTTGCATTAATAAAATCTGGTCCCATGTTTATTTAATAGAAATAGACAAAATTGAATATATTACAAGGCATACAGGAAAATATTTAAACCGACGGTGTCGGGTATGTGGTTCAACTTTTTCTCGCGTATCATTGAAACTTGTCCCTGGTCTCTAAGGTCCATGGACCTTGGTCTCTTGTTTCCTGAACCTTGGTTCTTGGTCCTTTGTCCTTTGTCCCTGGTCCATGGACCCTGAACCTTGGTCCCTTGGACCCAGAACCTTGGATCAGGGTCCGGATTCAGCCTAAAAATGCGCGCACTTTAAACAAGAAAATTTGACCATATAGATTCTAATTATATTTTACTTGCTGAAGGTTTGACGGAACCGCTGTCAAGAATTCTCGACTATCTCGGAGGAAATACAGAACAGGTATTACAATAATATTTAAAGTTATTTCTTTAAGTATAATATTTAAATATACGATAGAATATATATATATATATATATATATATATTGAAATTACATGGGTGTACACTGTACACTGTACAGTAAGGGGGAGTGAATTTAAAAATTTCATTACAGAACTACGGCGAAAGTAAATTCTTATGTAAAAAACAATTCTAGGAACAATTTCTTTTTTGACACTTTTTGATTGGAGGTCGTCTTCGTAAGCTGGCACTGCAATAGTTTACCTAAATGTACTCTTTTTTGAGATTGGTGATTTTGCAATAAGCATGCAATAAGCTTCCAATTGCTACAGCGATGGGCACTTCTAATGTTAAAAACAATTCTAAGAACAATTTCTTTTATAACACTTTTTGGATTGGAGGTCGTCTTCTTGTGCTAAATGGCACACAGATCCAGAAAAAGAGTACATTTAGGTCAAAAATATCAGTGCCAGTTAGCTTTAAGAAGACGACCTCTAATCAAAAAGTATCATAAAAGAAATTGTTTTTAGAATTGATTTTTACAGTGGAAATGACTATCGCCGTGAATATTGGAAACATATTGCATGCATATTGCGAAATAACAGATTTCAGAAAAAAGGTCTATATAGGTCCAAACTTGCAGTGCCCGTTAGCTAACGAAGACGACCTCTAATCAAAAACTGTCATAAAAGAATTTGTTCTTAGAATTGTTTTTTTTGCATAGAAATGGACTATCGCTATAATGATTGGAAACATTTTACTTGTGTCACAGATCTCAGAAAAAAAGACATAAAGGTCAAAACTTGCAGTGCCATTTAGCTAACGAAGACGACCTCTAATCAAAAAGTATCATAAATTGTTCTTAGAATTGTTTTTTTTACATAAGAATTGACTTTCGCCGTAATGATTTCAAGCAGATTGTTTTATTTTTGGAAATTCACTCCCCCCTAGTGTACAGGGTGAGCAAAAAAAGTTGAAGAGCAAGATCTTGCGTATAATTGAGCATTTTTTGGGTAATTTTATTTTTGACAAATATGTATCAAATTCAATTTTTTTCTATAAGCAATCTGTTGACCATTTTTAATAAAAATTAGATGAGTAGAAAACTTAAATGCGGGAATATATTATTTTTATCACGCCTTAAAATCTTAAACAGATCAGATGAGCAGTTTTAAAGAAAATGCGCTAAATTGAATAATAATAAATAATTTTTTCAAGAACTAAATTGCTAATTTTCTGAATTCAGTTTAGTGCATTTTCTCCGAAACTACTTATCTGATCTGTTAAAGATTTAAAGGGTGAAAGAAATAATATACTCCCGCATTTTGTTTTTCTACTTCTCTAATTTTTAGTTAAGAAAAAGTTGTAATGTAACTTGGTAATTGTGTTAATTCTCATTTACAATATTAGACGATGTGTGCAGTACTCCCGGGAAATCAAGCGTTTTTGAAAAGGAAATCAAGTCTCCTTTGCCAGAAAAAGCAATCGAGTCTCCTAGAAAATCGAGTAGATCCATGGATAAAAGCGAAACCATCAAAAAAGTCGACTCTCCCGAAAAATCTACGAATTCTAAAAGTCCTGATAAAAAGTCCAAATCTTTATCTCCTGTAAATACTGCAAATGTTGAGGCAAACTCCATATCTCCTCTTGAATCTAATATTGAAGATAGGAAAACATCTTTATCTCGCGGGAAGTCTTTCCAGTTAGAGAAAGAAACGTCTGAATCCAGTAAGTTAAACGAAAAGTCCCCGGAGAAATTGAACCAAGGAGATGAGACGAGGAATGGTTCAACCACCAATACGAGATCAAAGATTCACGAATCCCCTTCTAATAGATCTTACATCAGAAACAAAACGACCACTACTCCATCTAGAAATCCGAGAACAGCTTCCTCATTAAGAAGTATTAAAGTGTCCACACGACTATCGCAAGGAGCGTCTTCTGCGATATCTCAGTCCCCTAAGAGCAGCACACCGAGGAGTAAACACAGGTTCCTCAAGAAATCTCCGAAACGTCTGAACAAAAAGGCAACTATTCGACGATTATTATTCGCCTTCAAATCTTTCTCATCATATGTAATATATTTATTCAAGTTTGAGATTATTACATCATTGCCTTAAACCTTTTTATTTTTTCATTTAAATCTTTTTAATATCTTAATCTTTTTTATTTTCATTTATTTTTTTATATTTTTTTACTACAATCCGTTTTCCGACAAATTTTGTAATTTAACAATTAAATAGATGAATTGTTAGGGGAGAGTGAAGTTTAATCTGTTGGGACGGATTAAGATAAGTCCTCGTAAATCAACAAGAGAGAAGGTGTGTTCCTATCTTCAACTTGGACTCCTGGCTTCAAACATACCAGGTAGATTATCTATATATATATACATTGCTTGTCTGTTTTTTTGTTTTATTGGTTGTTTGTTTTTAAACAATTCATGTCAAAACGGCTGAACCGATCGGGTCCAATTTTTTTGTGGGACCTCAAATTTGGATTTTTCAAAATCCACGAATTAAAATCGGTAAAAGAGAAACTTTAATAAATAAAATCGAAGAAAGCGCTATGGAAGCCTAAAATAAAAGTTTAAAATTAAAGTATGAAAGTATTCGATGTCTCTGTATACAATTTGATTAAACAAGAAGGGCCGTACAAGTTTTCTGTCTGTGTGTATTTCCAGCCGTAAAAGAGAACCTTGGGGTTCAAATTCATTATTTAAGGCCAATGACAAAAAAGACGTTTTCATAGAATTCACTTTTACAAACTTTTGATAGAAATAATTGTAATTCTCTAAGCCCAAACAGTCCAGGGTTAGTTGTTGGAGCTACAGGAGATGATACTTTGACTGTAGGTTGATTGTTAGTGATGATAATAATAATAATACCGATCAGTTCATGACTAAATTATGATTTATCTGTATAGTTACCCCTTTCATTTTTCCTAAACACTCCCCTTAAAAATGTTAATACAGTTGCTCCAAGTCTGCGTGCACTTGTCCAGAAAAAGAGAGAACACCAGGGCCATGTGGAAATCAATCAACTGCAAAAGGTTAGAAACAGATTTTGTTTTTTTACTTAAGATTTGAATAATTTTTAGATTTTTTTATGTTCTTGAATTGTTTCTGATAAAAAGATAATCATAAAATATTTAATATTTCAACGCAATTTGAGTGACCCTCCATTTTAAGTGTTACAAGCTTGCCAGATAAGTCAATTTTTTTATATTTGTCTCCAAATTTTCTAAATAAATTGAAAACAAATATATACATTTGAGAAACAATGATAAAGATTGCGATACATTTTGTCGATTTTCTACCCTGGTTCTGATGAAATTGCAATATAGAATTATCAATTTTTAAAAGAATACCCACTCCCACAAAACTTCCATAATTTTGACTTAATCATGGCCGGGTTCCGTCGGGCATGAAACTCCGATGGTAACTTTAAAATACATCGTGAGTCCTTTAAATCAGGTTTATTTTCAGGTTGAAAGTTGGTTGACTAGACTCGAGACTGGATCAGTGCTTGGCACTGTAGAGGATCAACCTGTTGTAAAGACTAGAGAAATTCTAGGCAAATCTGTAGAACACAGGCAGGGGATATATTTTTAAAAATTTATTTCTCCCCTTTCGCTTTTGCCCCCCNAAAATCTATGGGATTTTCACTGAATTTTTGGGGAAATTGATGAGTTTTTAGGTGAAGTGTTGATTGCACGTAAAGTCCAATCGTGTTCTTTTTCTAAATATTTATCCCTGGACATAGACTGAGTCAGATATTCGGGAAAAGGGCAGAAGAGGAGAGGAGTGTATGTGCCGAAGGTGTAGGTCCTAATCTACTTCAAAGACATCTGAGCACCATAGATGATGAGCAGCTAGTCACCAAACTAAAACCGGTGGATGGTGAGAATGATGCAGAACCAAGTAAACAGATATCTCAACTTCCTTCTATTCATGGATCCTTGACTCCTCCTCTAGAGAACCTGGAGAACCTGACACAGCTTCAGAGAGAGTTAGAATTAGATCTCATAAACAGAGGATTAATCACACCTAGTCCGATACTAGATAAGGCTGGGGGGATGGAGGCTGAGCTACCAATGCTAGAAAACGAGGATAGCAATGAATTGCCGGACCCAGCGAAACATACTTCCTTTATGGCAGGTCTGATTTATCCCCCTTAAAACTTTTTGCGCTTCACATTGATATTTTTAGAAATATTCCTTAAGAGAGTAAAGAAGGGGGGGGGGGGTTCAATGTTTTGATGTGCACTGTGCAGGCATTGATTTTTGAATTTAAGTTAATTATATAATGCAACATTTTAAACAGGTTTTCTTAGAATTACAGTTTTAAGAAAATGTATTTTCTAGAAGTGCTCGGAGAAGAAAAGTGCTCCCTATACTCCCAAGATCGGGAAACTAGAAGCCAGGAGATAAACAGAATAGCTCTTCAAGAGTTCAGATCAGAGGTATTGAGATTTAAGATCATGATTGGGACTTGTAAGTTTTATTCCATTGACCCTCCAGGCAAAGATTACAATGCCCGATTTACAACGGTACCCTTGAAAGTATTAAAGAATTAATTTTCTATTGTGGTTCTCTGGAAAAGTGTCAAGGTCATTTCTTGCTAATAAGATTCAAAAGGGAAAAATTATCAGAATAAAACACTGTAATAGTCAGAAAAACGAAGTTTATTTCCAGATTTTTGATCAGAGTATTGTAAATCTGTCACTTAAAATTACGATAACAGTCCCTTTAAAATAAGAATGAGGGTTTAAGATCAAAGGTATTGGGAATCAAGCTCAGTCAAGATTGAGTATAGACAAAGCAATGTATAAACAGAATTTGGATTAAATGCAAATTAGGTTAAAACTCGTTTTTGCAGTTCAAAATCTAGATTAGGATTGCATTAAAGTATTTGGGGTAATTGGTTAGTATTAGGGATTAGAATCATGATTAGGGCATAAAGGGACTGTTCAAGTGATTTTAAGTGTCCTCAATAAGATGTATATTATACAACGATTCAAAACGGTTCCCTTTAAACCCTGATAGAAAAATAAAATATGGAATATACCTTTTATATGTTAAGTTTTTACCTTCCTTCTCTCTGTTGGTGAACTGCAAATAAAAGAAAAAAATCACGTAAACAAGGAGAACTCCACTATTTTGCTCAAATTAAGGCTTAAAGGCATCGTTGTGAACGGAAACTCTTCTAGAGAACCACTTGAAATTATTTTAGCAGGCCCAATAAATCTGGATGAGATTAAATTAGGATTAGTGGATAGAATATGAATTGGATTTTATTTAAATTCAGAATTTATTTTCTTTAGAACGATGTTATTGTTGGGGAACCTCTCAATCCCTCCGGTTCTAGCAGTATCGGAGGAAAAGCTTCCTCCAACTCTAGTTTCGGAGGACGTCCCCAGACCAAGCGCCAGATCTGCTCTAGTAGTAGTAGTAGTGAAGCTATGAGGAGTGTGAAGAGACGACGTATTAACGTAATAGAGAGTGAGAGTGAGGAGAGCAATGATGCTCAGAATCAGATACAGGATATCCAAACACAACATACACCCAAGGTAGGATATCGATTTTTTTTTACTAGGGCTCAGGATCTATTTCATTTCTATGCGGATCTGGATCCTGGATCCGCCCTGAGAAAAAAATGGATCCGGATTTTTTGAACAAGTTTAAATTTTATCAATTTTTCTTCTTTTTTCTCTCTTTATTAAAAAGTTTTTATTGATTTTCAGAGCAAACTTTTTAAAGCAGACTTCGGTTCCGTTTGGTCCAACGGTTCCGCATCCTAAGCACTGGTTGCTACTTAAATTTTTCAGCTTTAATCGGATTTTTCTCAATTTTTTTCCGCTCGTTAAATGGACTGAAGATGGTAAGTTTAAGCTAAGCAAATAGGGAAATCTAATTTTTTATTTATAATCTCCATTTATCGATGTTTCGGTACAAGTCCAGTTTCGGTTGCGTTTGTTTACAAACAACCAATATACAAGTGTACAGCCGGCAAAAATGAGTTCATTGTATATTACGGAATTTGGTGTATTCTGAGTTCAAATCTTCTACTGGCCTTACCTACCTGGATGCGCGGGATATCGAATAAAGATAAAATTGATCTGAAGATTATCAAAAGATTGAGATCAAGCATTAATCTCGATTTATACAATACAAGAAAGAGTTCTCATATTTTGTAATAAATGCAAGTAAATTCTTCAAATTTGCTTAATTTTAAAAAGATTTTTTTATGGTTTCAGGTTTTTTAAAGATTTATGTGATGTCCTAATTGTGAGTTTCCAGGTTGTTGATAAACTGCCAAAAGCTGGAGGAACTGGTTCCCGAACCAAGTTTGAAAACACTTTCAAGGATCTGAATGAGTCCCTGGACATCGAGGATTCTCAGGACACAAACAACAAGGAATCAAGGTCTGTTTTATCAGGGGTTTATATTCAATGATTGAGGGGGGGGGGGCATATTGTAAATCAATTGGCAATTCACCTCATCCACATACTACGCCAATAATAAATTTAGTTCCAATTAAACTCAGTATTTTTTTTCCTTGTAATTTAGTGAGAGTAAAAACCCCAAAACAAATTTTTTTATACCGGAATTATTTTCTTTCATTTTTATTGTGCTTGTACTTATGTCCTTTTACTCATGTCTTCTTATATTTTAATTCTTGTGCTCAAGCGTGTGAGCTTATACGCTCATATTGTTCCAATTATATTGTCTTCCATGTTTTTTTTTTATTTCTTCGCTTAGTTTTTCTAGAACTTAAAAAATCGCTGTAGTGTAAAATTTAAAAATGTGGTTTCACTTTACATTTTTAACTTGATCTTGATGCTGTCAATGTCATGAAAATCATATCCAGAGATTAGATCTTTTATGTGAAGTATTGTGTAAGTCTAGGATGTGAAGTATTGTGTAAGTCTAGGATGAAGATCAATGCTTAATCCTGAGATTCACATTATTTCAGATCTTATTATTGCTTTAAGATATAAATTTTAGAATTTGAATATATTTTGTTTGTATCTAGGAGTGGGAGAAAGACGGGGCGAAGAAACATTACTCGTACTCCCTTGGTTGAAGTTTTAAATACTAACAAATTGGATCGGAAACAGGAGAGCAGAACCCCTAAAAGTAAGTTTGAACAGGAGAGCAGATCCCCTAAAAGCAAGTTTGAACAGGATAGCAGAACCCCTAAAACCAAGTTTGAACAGGAGAGCAGAACCCCTAAAAGCAAGTTTGAACAGGAGAGCAGAGCCCCTAAAACCAAGGTTGAACAGGAGAGCAGAACTCCTAAAAGCAAGTTCGGACAGGAGAGCAGAATCGTCCAAAGCAGACGTGACCAGGAAACCATCAAAAATCATGGCGATATGGAAGAAAACTCCGTTTTTCATTCAGAATTGGAGTTTGAACCTCTGATTCCACCAGCAGAGACCAACACGCAGTCCATCTCACTTCTCTCCGATCCTTCTGGAAGGAAAAAAAGAAGTCTTAAAGCAAATCCAGGCGAGACAGAAAGATATGCGGCAAGTGACGGAAGTGAAACTGAAAATAACAATACTCAGGAAAGAAAGCATTTCATAGTCTAATGTTGTCAAGGATATCGTTCTAGCTTCCCATTTCCTTTAAAAAGTTTTTTTTGTTTCTCAACACGTAAGACAATTTTCAGGGTTTCATTAGAAAGTTGCAACTTATTCGGAAATGACTGACATCTTGGGTACGTAAAGCTAAGTATATAAGTTTAGTAAATAAGTTTAAAAAGTTGAGTTAAATTGTTCATTTTTATTTTCTCTTTCTATATTTTGATCGTGTTAAAATTGTTTCTTTTGTTAATTTGAAATTTTATATGCTGGGTCTAGGAGCTACAGACTGCACTGACAGGAGCAGTGGGTACATTGAAATCTATGAAGGAAAACTTCCATCAGAGTTTACAGGTAGGTACATATATATATTTTTTTTNATTTAAGCACAGATTTACTTTGCTTGAATAGGTAAGGTAAGGATAGGTAGAAAGATTAAGATTTTAAGAATCACCAGCTGAAGGGCCCGACGTTGCCCGTGGGAAAAAAAAATTGGGGGAAGAAAAAAAAACAATTTCAGGGAGAAATTCATTTTTTTAGCCTGTAACACCTCCCGGCCACCCAATCGGTCCAGCCATTTGGCCGCCTACACGCAACATATATATACGAATGTCTTGTTTTATTATATAGATTGAATCTTTTTTATAAATATGGGGTGAGGGGTCAGTGTTGCGTCCAATTTACAATTTTAGCAAAATTGGGAATCAATGCGACATCTATGTTTTCTTCTTTTTGAAAAGGGAGTCAGTTAAGAGTTACCGACACGTGACTATATTATTATTATTATCATTATTATTGTTATTGTTATTGTTATTGTTATTGTTATTGTTATTGTTATTGTTATTGTTATTTTTATTGTTATTGTTATTATTATCATTATTATTATCATTATTTTTTTTTAACCTGATAAGATATTAAAGGGTACCGTTGTGATTTGGGCATACCTATCTTTAAACGAATAGAAGGCTCACTTGAGATTTCAAAGACACTTACAATAATTTTATTGTCTTTATCTCTAGGTACTAGGCAGTCCTAACCAGACTGTGAATGAGAAAACTCCTGGAAGTATGATGATTCAAATAGAAACTGATCAAGTTGACACTGTAGATGATACTCCAGCAGCTGTAGCTGATCTTGATGCTGATACTCCTGGAGTTAGCGAAGATGATGATGACATGTTCTCAGCTACACCTGATGAGCCAAGCAGGTAGAACTAATTTATCATCCTGACTGTGATAAGTAGATCAGCTAGGTTTTGAATGAATGTTGATGATATAACTGTCTACGCCTCTCTTGAGAAGTAGTTTATAACCCTTCCGCCAAAAAGGTGCTAAAATTATTAATCTGAGGCCAAATTTATAAAATTTTAACCGCGCAGTTGAACCGCCAAGAACCGGTTCCAATTGACCATTGGCTCAAATCTCGAAACCTTGAATAACTCTCTTTACCTTGTTTTATTACTTCTTGCTATACAAAAAATTTCGACTTCAGGTCCAGGAGTTAAAGTTTTCTTTGAAAATGATTAAATATTGAACGTAATGTCCTTGTTCGGTTGAACAGAGCAGCAAGTTTAACGTATAGGGGAGAGGAAATGTAATAAACGCTTGCTTTCAACCACTAAAAGAGAAAAGGATTCATTTAAAATCTTCAATCTTTGCCTTAAGATTTTTTTAATGTGTTATTTATTATCATTACAGGGGTGTTAATAAATGACTTTTGGGGTGAAAAGTTTTAAAAAGAATACAAAAAACTTCCGTTTTGATGTGCAATTTTTTTGTCCCCAGAAGACTAAAATCATTCTTAAGAATCCTGTATCATTAATGAAATTAGATTGCCGCTGAAGATTATGAGGGAACCAGGACTAACAATGGTTGAGGAGGAGGAGCTAGAACCTGGAAACAAGGAAACAGAATCAGGATGGAAAACATGTCAAGTCGGAGAGACCGAAGAGATTAGTTCAGCTCCAGTGGATTCCAATGAGCCCGGGATCGAAGTCCCAGACACTGAAGATATTCTAGGAGAAGAGTTCATGCAAGAAGTCCTAAATGCGGAGTTTAAGAACGGAGAAGATGTTGAGAAGACTAGCTCAAACTATTTATCCCAGGTAAGGCCCTCCCCCACTTTAAAAAAAAAACTATTTTTCTCTTTTGTTTGTTTAGAATGTTTGCCATTAGCAAATTTTTTTCTTGCTTAAATTGGGTAAATTAGTTATTTTTTAAATAGAGGGGGAAATTTTCTGTTAAGGACCAATTTTTAGAAATAAGAATATAAGAAATGCAGATGCTTTCTTCCTGTCCACATATTCTATAATTAGCAAATCCATTGCCCACACTGCTGAAAATGGACCATCAGGTTTCAAGTCAAAACACCTCAACTTTTTCTTTGGATTCTGTTTATATGCAGAATACTGAGTTATATTCTCATTTTTTAGAAAATGCAACCTAGGGAATTTTGAGCAAATCAATTTTTTAGAAATTGTAGAAATCAAGTACATTCACACATTCTTAAATTAAACAAAAATTTCATTTCAAGACTTTTATCTGCTTCTTCTGGGTTTTTGGCGATATTTTTTGAACAGTATATGGCATGGCTACAAATTTCTTTTATTTTTCTTTAACAATCATGAAACTGATTGTTGCAAAAAATCAAACCCCTAGCTCAACTGCCTGACTGTCAAAATTCGGCCCGAAAAAGTTTTTTTTAATGTAATTTTTAATTATTTTACTTGAAAAAGTCTTTTTTAGGCAGTAACTGGGCAATTATACAGTTCACCTTCTGTACTTTCTTTAAAATGGATTTAATTTATATTCCCTAGGTGGCGTTTTCTGAAAATTTAGATTAAAACTCAGAAGCCTGCATATTAATATACTCCGAAAAAAATTAGGTGTTTTGAATTGAATCCTGATGATTCATTTTCAGTAGTGTGTGCCGGTAATTAAGCCATTTTTAATTTTTGTAAGTTTTTGTTTGATCGTAGGAATTGAATAATTTCATTTATTTACAAATTTTTGTTAATAAAGATGAAGCTCATTCTCAAACCGATTTTTAACATTATTATGTTTTAGTTTTTGCTTTACTTATTGCATTTGCTCAGAAATAATGTAAAATTTGTGAAATTTTGGATTAATATTTTTTTTCTAATAATAATTTGCTATCAGTGTGCACAATTTTAAGAAAATCTATGACATTTACTTCTATGGGGTGGTTGACTTTATAAAAAATGAGCCTAAACTAAGTTTTGATTAAAGAAGAAATAGGTTCTCAAGTATGTATTTAATCCAGGTGAACTCTAAAAAGAAGAGTCCTGAGAAACCAGTTTACCAGGCTGACACGTCAAGCTGGAATTTTGTACTCTCTAATATATCTCAGCAGGATAGGCCTACAGTTAACAAGTAAGTTTTATCCCTGTACTTTGTGACCTTTGTATTTGATATATTTAGGTTTTTATCTCTTTATCTGATATGTTCAGGTTTTAAACTCTGTGCTCTATGAACTTTGTATCTGATATTTAGGTTTTTATCTCTGTACACTATGAACACTATATCTGGTATATTCAGGGCTTTTATCTCTATCTTTTTTCAGGTTTTTATCTCTGTACTCTATGAACCCTGTATCTGGTATATTCAGGGCTTTTATCTCTTTGCTCTATGAACCCTTTATCTGTTTTTAGGTTTTTATCTCTGTACTCTATGAACCCTGTATCTGGTATATTAAGGGTTTTTAGCTCTGTTCTCCTTTATCTCTGTATCTGTCTTCTGGTTTTATCTTTGTACTCTATGAACCCTGTATCTGGTTTATTCAGGGCTTTTATGAACCCTGTATCTGTTTTCAGGCTTTTATCTCTGTACTCTATGATCTATTAATGCTTTTATATCTGTACTCCTTTAACTCTGTATCTGGTTTCAGGTTTTTATCTCTATACTCTATGAACCCTGTATCTAGTAGCGTGGATAAGAGAACTACTCATATAATTGTCAACACTGATGAGGATCTTTTGGCTCAAAGAACTTTAAAGTATTTACAGGTAAACTAGCTGTGATGTCGGTTTATTATAATTGTCCCTATCTTACCCTAGAAGTATGAACTATTGGAACATCGGAAACTTTAACTAGAATTGAATCCTATATATGCATTTTGAATTTTAATTCAAGATAAGCAAAAATCTGTACACTGTACTGTACTGTACTGTACTGTACTGTACTGTACTGTACTGTACTGTACTGTACTGTACTGTACTGTACTGCACTGCACTGTACTGTACTGCACTGTACTGCACTGCACTGCACTGTGAACACATTCCAGGGCGTATGCCGAGGATTAACTATAGTCTCCCATCTCTGGTGTGAGAAAAGTATAGACGAAGGAAGACTACTGGATCCACTGAACTTTGAGGAAACCCTTAATAATAATAAACTTATACTAACTTCTTGCATTTTTACATTTGTGATAGTGGCTGATAGTCCCTGTAGACTAAAGGAGTAATTTCAGGTGACTCCATGCAAACATGGCGATTCACAAGGAAACCCTTGACACTTTATCTGATCAAATTATAATTCCCGTTGTAGAAATCATTTTTCTAAATGATCATTTTTTTTTAAATTAAAAAATTTGAAATATAAGTTAAACTTGATAAGACAAAGCTTTTAAGGGTACCGTTGTGAATTGGGCATTGCCATCTTTGCATGGAGGGTCACTTGAAATTACGCTTAAAGTCCCTTTTAGTACTGAACACATTATAAACCTCCATATCTTTGTTTACAAAGTGTACTGCAGTATCTGGGTGGAATGTAAACAAAACATAGCCTGAGTAGCTAAAAGTGTGTTAACTAGAGATAAGAGAGTATAGAGATCTATTAAGGTTAGAATATGCAATATTTTCTACAACAGATTCCACTGTGTACAGCTGAAGTACATGACCGATAAGCAGAAGTCTATTCTCATGGATATTTTTAACTTTAATAATTTATTTTAATTAAATTTTACAATATTTTTAAATTTTAATATGATATCAGATGGAAACATTTTGAGACTTCTATATTTCTTGTTTTTAATTCTTTCTTCTTGATCTTCCATTCCTTGTCCATCCTTCAATCACACTATGGCTAATTTTGAAAATAAAAATAAATGAATTTTTTGGATGTTTTCTGCAGCTAGCCAAATTGCACAGGTAGAACTATTTTTTGAAGCCCTGTATCTATATTCTATATATTGAGAGTGGCAAGGTTACTCTTCCCCTTGTTTATATTTAAATTTTGCTTCAGTCATTATACTGTGTCGAGTCAGCTCCTGCATTCCTAGCTTTTCTTGGAGGGGGAGAGGGGTGAGGGGGGCATTTTACACATTTTCCAGTTTTTTTATCTCGAGTAGGACATAGAGGGGGGGATGGGACGTCTGCCATCCTGTGTATTCCCCTTCTAATTTTTCCTGTTCAAAGTTTTCTTCTTCTTTCTTGTTATCTTGCTTTAAGCACCCATCTCTACTGTCAAGAGATTTCCCTTCCACTTTTTTCTGTTCAATTTATTTTTTCTTCTTGCTTCTTGTTTCTTGTTTTTACACTTTGAGGCCTTTCCAAATAGTTCTTTTAACATCGCGTTGTGGAGCAGGTAGGAGAGAGATAAGGAGGTTTGTAGGAAGAAGGGTATAGGGGATTTCTCCCTGTGTTCCTTCATTTTATACTGGTTCCCAGTTAGGGGAATTAAGGAATTTACCCATAACTGCACCCCATATGCAAAATGGGGAGTTGTGATCCCTGAAAGCTCTATTGAGAGGTATCTTCCATGGCAGTCCAGTCCTTACATCTGGTCGAGTAAAAAATCGGTATCGATGTGCATAGCTTGTATTCCCACGAGGGGTTTAACTCCTCTTTCAGTGAACCAAGCTGAAGATGAAGTTCTGTTTTAATCTATGTACAATTCTTGCTTCCCCTGTAGGATACTAGATGCGTAACTAAACACAGCGCTTCCCCAGCTGCAATTCTGGGACTGCATAGTAGGTCCGTTCTGCTAGAGAGAAAGCAGGCAACTGATTCTCATGGATATATATAAGGATTCTTTGGATACGAAACACGAGTTTTTCTTTAAAAATTGTAAAACCCAACCCCTGAATGTGTCGGCGAGATTGCAGTCGAATACCTTTTGTAAGATTACAGCATGTCGTGTCAGTACGACTATACTACTTAGCCCAGCCCGTGAGAGCTAATTAGCAGTCTTAATATTTCTATTCTGTGGAGTTAACGTTCCTCCAAAAATCTGCAGTACTCTGCTTTTTTTAAAACAAAGATATGGGAGTTCCTTCCTGTTAAAAATATTATTCTATCAGATTTTTTTTTGTTTAACGAAAATATTTTTTCATTTCAAACATTTATTTTGAAAAAAAAAACACAATTTTATTGATATTGGGTTGATGAAGGTGCTAGACGCTGAGTTGAAGGGTGCTAATGGTCCCTACAGGTCCAGAATGTCCAGGGTTGAGAGAAGACCTCCTGTACTTCAGGGTTGGGAGGTCATGGTATTTGGAGAGATTGATACCATTCCTCAGTCTGCTCTCATTGAACTCATCACACTTCTCGGAGCAAGGTAATTAACAATTTAAACAGTAAATCCTGTCAATTTCTTCACAATCCCTACACTGCACCTTATGATTTGATTTGAGAACACATTCTTCGATATTAAAGTTTTCAAATAATGACTTGCTTTGATGTAATCAAATCTATGGGGATAGGGATAGGACGGGACAGGACTGGGACAGGGTACCGGTAGTATGGTGGGGTATGTTATGTTTTGGAATGGGACGGGATGGTATGGTTCTTGATGTGATGGGATGGTATGGTTCGTGATGGGATGGTACGGTTTATGATGTGATGGGATGGTATGGTTTATGATGTGATGGGATGGTACGGTTCATGATGGGATGGGATGGTATGGTTTATGATGTGATGGGATGTTACGGTTCATGATGTGATGGTATGGTAGGGTTCATGATGTGATGGGATGGTATGGTTCGTGATGGGATGGTACTGTTCACGGTTCATGATGGGATGGGATGGTATGGTTTATGATGTGATGGATGGGATGGTACTGTTCATGATGTGATGGGATGGTACGGTTCATGATGTGATGGGATGGTATGGTTCGTGATGGAATGGTACGGTTCATGATGTGATAGGATTGTATGGTTCATGATGTGATGGGATTGTACGGTTTATGATGTGATGGAATGGTACGGTTCATGATGTAATGGGATGGTATGGTTCATGATGTGATTGGATGGTACGGTTCATGATGTGATGGGATGGTATGGTTCATGATGTGATTGGATGGTACGGTTCATGATGTGATGGGATGGTATGGTTCATGATGTAATGGTATGGTAGGGTTCATGATGTGATGGGATGGTATGGTTCATGATGTGATGGGATGTTACGGTTCATGATGTGATGGTATGGTAGGGTTCATGATGTGATGGGATGGTATGGTTCGTGATGGGATGGTACAGTACGGTTCATGATGTGATGGGATGGTATGGTTCATGATGTGATGGAATGGTATGGTTCATGATGTGATGGGATTACATAGTTCATGATGTGATGGGATGGTATGGTTCATGATGAGATGTGATGGTATGTTTCATGTGATAGGATGGTATGGTTCATGATGTGATGGGATGATATGGTTCATGATGTGATGGGATGATATGGTTCATGATGTGATGAGATGGTATGGTTTATGATGGGATGGTATGGTTCATGATGTGATGGGATGGTAATCTTCATGATGTGATGGGATGTTATAGTTCATGATGAGATAGGATGGTATGGTTCATGATGTGATGGGATGGTATGGTTCACGATGTGATGGGATGGTATGGTTCGTGATGGGATGGTACGGTTCATGATGTGATGGGATGGTATGGTTCATGATGTGATGAGATGGTATGGTTCATGATGTGATGGGATGGTATGGTTCATGATGTGATGTAATGGTATGATTCATGATGTGATGGAATGGTACGGTTCATGATGTGATGAGATGGTACGGTTCATGATGTGATGAGATGGTATGGTTCATGATGTGATGGGATGGTATGGTTCATGATGTGATGGGATGGTATGATTCATCATGTGATGGAATGGTACGGTACGTGATTGGACGAAACGGACCGGGACAGCACAAGAAATTACTAATCTTTCGTTTATCTTTAAATTTGTATCAGATATGTTGAGGATGTGAAGAACTTCTCATACAACAGGAACAATCCTAGGATCTGTATTGTGGACTCAATAGTAGAGATTGATGAGAAGCAGGTCAGATATGCATCTTTACATCTTTACATCTCAACATCTCTACATCTCTACATCTTTAAATCTTTACATATCTACATCTCTACATCTCTACATGGCTTCAAAAGATGTACTTAGTATGTTGAACCATGTACAATGTACAAAGATAATTGTAATTTGCACCTTGTATCCCAATATTTTTATTCACGTAATTTTTTACCTCTTCTATGTTCGTTGTTCATTTAACACAAAAAAATTAAAAATTTAGATGAACTCTTGCATTTTGGTTTGCGATTCAGTTTAAGAATGCCATAAAAATATGTCGTCATTTAAGGGTTGGCGGCAAAATGGTCGTGGGTTAATCTTTAAATGAATCTCATTTTTTTGTTAAAACAGATTTCTTATGAGAAGATTATGATCTACCTGTATATACTTCCACAATCCACATATTAACACTCAATGCTTCATTCGTCTATGATTAGCCTAAAAAAGTACAAACATTTTATCGGAAGGCAAAACGAGTGTGGGTTGGACGTCTTACTACTTGCTAATTTTTATGTGTAATTCTTTTCGTTCCTAGTACGTAGTGTAGTTTACTTTAATTCGTATATTTTACCGCCTTCTGACCAAAATTAACGACCTATGATTCCCCCAACAGAGGGAGGTTAGGTTACTTAACGTCCCTTGGGACAGTTATGTAAAGTAATCACCCGCTCTGCGTAATTTTTCAGGAAAAAACCCGCGCATTTTCATCTCATAAGACGATAAAATTGTGTACAACAACTTTAAAAACATACAGAGCTGTGCTCCAGATGTTTTGTGCCAAAATTGGTCTTGGGAACCCTTGGTAAACTAAAATTCCCTTAACCTCCCTGTAAAGTAGTTGTAAATAATCAATTCCGCCTTCTATTGTTTCTTCAATTTCATTCCTTGTACTTGCAACTTCATCCATTTCTAATTGTCTTGTTATTCAGGCACGTCGGTGTATAAAAGCACGGCACACCTTGATGGTAGACAAAGAGTGGTTACTAGAAACCATTGGTGGATGGGAGATTAGGTAAGTTATATAGAACGGCTGATAATTTTTTTGTCCGGGACCAAAGTGTTATTCTTAAGATTTTGTGACAGGTTTAAGACAATTCACTCATTTAGATCTTATTACCAAGACATTTATGGCAGAATAGACTTAAATACTGTTGGTAGATCAGACTTTACGCTTATTATGTTGTTAGGAGTCACTTTTTAGGCCATTAACCCATTAATATATTTCCATGTGTATGAGTTTTGTCCCTGTAGGTAATCTTGATATCCTGAACTTCTGCATCGGATATAATATTTGCTTAATTTTGAAAAAATTCTGATAGATAAAATTTTATTTTCAGACCTGTGTTGGCCCACGCTTCATTCGGGATACTAGCTGCGGATATTGAAGGTCTGGGATATCCAGCTAATTTTATTGGAGAACCTAGTAATAGCGGATATGTGTAGTGGATATCGATGAGGAATTCCTGTAGCGGATTCTCTAACAAATGTGATTAAAAATCACAATAATAAAGTTATGTCTATTGTGTACTACTTTGTCTATTGGAGAACCTAGTAATAGCGGATATATCTGATGTGATTTCAAATGTATTCTTTGTGCAATCATATTCAGCGAGTATTTACTTAATTTTTCTGATTGCCGCTTTTTGATTCTCTACAAATGTGATAGAAAATTACAATAATAAAGTTATGTCTATTGTATACTACTTTGGTTGACTCAATGCTAATGAACGTATCCCTTAGATAGGTCTGTCACGAATTGGGATTTAAAAGTTTTAAGAAAACTTTTTACTTGCTTTACTAGTTCAGTCATTTTCTCCTTGTTCAGACTAGATTAAATAAGGGTACTGAGAAAGAAGAATTCAATTTTGTATATCTCCAATTCTAAATTCAAAATGACTAAAACTGAATTCTTTGAAGAAAGCGAACGAGTTAGAACCGAAAGAGGAGAAGTTAGGTTCTATGGAAATAAATTCTGTTTTTCAATTTGCAAATGCCATAATTGCGTATTTTACATTCTGAGTTGGAAGAGCTTAAGTTACCAGATATAAAGATAAACCGGATGCAAGGTATTTATCACCTCATTTCAGTCTCATCCCGATTCCAAGAATATTTTTGTTCAATATAATTTCATATGTAATAAGCCATGATTCCTATAATTTGCAACCTGATGGTGTAAACCTTTGATAATTCGAACTAGAGACAAAATGATTCATAGTTTGAATTAGCAAGGATCTACAGCATCAGGTTGCAAAGGAGAAAATCATAGTTTCGAGGCAAAAACTCGATACCTTTTACTTACACATTACACACTTACATGAATTTGAATAGATATAGTTTCAAGTTTGAAAGCAAAATTTCCGTTTAGGATTAACTTTAAAAATAAAAATACCAGATTTTTATTTACTTTGATTTCATCAAATCAGTTAATAGAGAGAGCAATGCAATGAGAATATAACAAGAAGAATGAGATCTCATATTCCAAGCTCATTATCTCCTACATTAATGATTCCTTGCATCTGTAAACTTGTTTCTTTCTTTGGCAAATCACAAAATAAATCATTAAAAGATTGTATGTTGTAGGCAGAGACTTAAAGGGAGTGACCGGCTATGAAAGGTAGTTGAACTGAGTATGCAGTTTTTTGGATTCGGATTCATTTGAGACATATTCGAAAGTTTTCCACAATACTGCATACTCAGTTCAACTACCTTACATAGCCGGTCACTGAAAATCAAATACGATTTATAATAAAATATAAATATTTTAGTCAATAAACATGGGCAATCTTCCATGCTAAATAGATTCTACAAATTATGGTTTAAATCTACTCTTCAATCAAAGTAAATATCTAAAATCTGCCTTAGTCAAAGATTAGAATATATTTATCTAAAGGTTGAAAGGAATTGAGTCTTTCCCACAAACTTTAATTTTCTAATCCCTTTATCTTTGGGACCCAATGTCGTAGACCTTGAATATTTCAAACTATGAATTCTGTTAGATCAAAAAATCTAAGTTTGAAATACAAAATGTTTACATCATCATTTTGCAAAGATATAATGGTTAGAATAGTTGAGTATGTTGCAAAGACTTAATTCTTTGAATAATTTCCCTACACATGCCCACCCTCTGTGAATGAGTTGACGCATACAACCAGGGGTGTGTAGAGTTCCACATGTAAGGGATACACTTTGATACAAAGGTCTCACGCTCTCAAGCGAAAATCAATGCGAGTTTTGCTAATTACATCTTGAAAACCCAAAGCCAACAACAAGTGCTTTAGAATGCTAAAATGTACAGAAAAGCAAAAACGGTAAAATACAAGCCCAAGGCGTTGCGACACTTCAAGTCAGCCCTGTCTTTAAAAAATGATGAGATTGTTTATAAGCAGGCTGAATCTATGTGGATATACAGCTACTCAATCAATTTATCAGTTAGTAATATTCTAGAGCAATCAAAGAGATTGTTTATAAGCAGGCTGAATCTGTGTGGATATACAGCTACTCAATCAATTTATCAGTCAGTAATATTCTAGAGCAATCAAAGAGATTGTTTATAAGCAGGCTGAATCTATGTGGATATACAGGTACTCAATCAATTTATCTCCAGTTAGTAATATTCTAGAGCAATGAAAACATTGAAGCAAAAATCTTTGAAAATTAAGTGAAATGTTTCTACACAATTGTACTGTAGTTAGCATTTAACTTCTTTTCAAGTTTATGCTTTCAAGCAAAAAATCATATTTTTAGTAATAGGAGCAAACCTGAGTTTTTCAGGCTCCTCTGGGATATCGTCGTTTTCTCATTGGTTGCGGTGCGTATTTGCTGAATATGATCTGTTTAAAACTTAGATTATTATACCAAATCTTAAGTACATAAGTTTTGGTATAACTTTGACACAGTTAATTTACATAACTCAATTAGATTTTACAACTAAATACAGTATCTTTACAATATTTTTAATAAAAGTTCCTCTATAAAGAGATGCAAAATGTCAATAAAACATTAATTTGAAAATATACAGGGTGTCCCAAAAAACATGGGAATTCAGTGACGAATTTGATATCGTCTTTGTTATGAATTAGCATTGTAATACCTAATTTCAAAAGCCATAATATTATTATGTCTGCTAGAGCTTATTTTATGAAAAGGGTAAAAGACTGTAAAGATGTGTCTATAATGTCTCCGCAAGATGAACAGTGAAGACGGACAAGTTTACTCTGTTTGTATACTGCAATTTTCTTGTTTTACTAAGTACAACCGTATGCAGTCAAAACATAAACAAACAAATGTGAACATAGCAGACGAAACTCTTACATATTACAGCTTTCTCTGTAGGTATCACTATACTAAATCAAAGAATTATTTGAAAAGACGATATCGAATTCGTCACTGAATTCCCATGTTTTTTGGGACACCCTGTATGTGAACTGCAGAAAGAAGTGCTCTTCATGGGCTCTTTCAGAATACCAAAAACGATTATATTGGATTTTTCTTTTCTCTTAAGGCTCCTTCTATAGCACACTGTGCACTGCAAAAAACTAGATTTCACGCGACATTACTATTACAACTTTGTTAACGCTCGTAGCTCCTCTAGTTTAAATATTATGAACAAGTATGAGGTAAGCAAATTCTTACGGTTATTTAATAAAAATTCGAAAGATTGTTTTTCTTCTCGATAGCTACAGGGTGTCCCACGAAACATGACAGTTGGTAAATAGTTTTAAATGTCGTCTTCCATACACTGTATTAGATATTACAAGCAGTTTATTTCGTTTAAAAACTCTTCTGCTTAAATATATTTTACTTCGAAGTTAATTTTACTGTAATATGACTCCTGTATAATATTTCATTATTTTTTTGTTAATAAACTACTTTACAAATTATGGAAGAAGACATTCTAAACTATTTACCAACTATCATGTTTCGTGGGACACCCGGTAATTCTTCATGAAAAGGAGTTTTCAATCTTCCGTGCAATTAGATTTGATTTTGATAATTGATTAGACTTGACAAGTTTTTGACATAATATTGAAACATTTTTACATTCAACAATAATGAATAAATTTTAATACAATTCAGAAGTATGTAAGCATATTTATTTTAGTTTTAGATATAATATATATCAACTAATTATTTATTTAAAAGCTAGAATAACAAAAATCTAATTTAACAATAACTGTTTATAAGGTACACGTAGTGTATATACAGGGATGTATAATGTCATAATTATTAAGTTTAAAAATCGTGTATTTTATGTATCACATCTTTTTCGAAATAATTTGGGTTTCGGAGACAGGGCTGTTCTTTCAGGGTTTAGTCTATAAACACGTGTGTCTGGCAACCGTACATTGTTCCCTAAAATTTTCATGGGACTAGTTTTATTAACGGTGGCTAACGGCCGACGTTTTGGTGGAGGTGCCGGCCGGTCCGGTCCGATATTCTCCTTTTCTTCGTAATCGTCCAGTATTGACATGGATCGACGATTTGTGTCCGTACGGCCGCCGATTCCCTGTTTTCCTGACTGTTTATGAAGGGAAGTTGAGACCCAGTTTCGATGAAAGTTTGCGTATTGTTCATCGGGATGAAGTTTAAAATCTTTATCTCCTCGGTTTAGGACGGAGAGACTGTAAGAATTAGCACTAACCGGAGCAGGGACGCATTGACTCCGTCCTGACTCTCGTAGGGAGCTGTTACACAGCTTTGCCGTCTCTACAAGATTGTAATTCTCTGTTCCAAAAACTCCGAATCCGTATTTTGCGTCCGGATTCTCCGGCATAAATCCGTACTTGTAGTCACTATTATCGTCTGCGGATTCGAACCGCTGGTGGGGGACGGAAAATTTCCGCTTTGGGAGGATATTGTTTCCCACGTTTCTGACAAAAGGTTTAGGAGAGGGGGTGGCTGTGAAGGTACTAAAGTCCGGGTTGAATCTGGAAGAGAGGATGGTGGAGTTGGAGGTCTCAAGGTCACTCTCTGTTCCAGAGGTCGCTTTAACTTTACTAAGGAACTTGACCCCCTGAGTGGTGAGATGGGGCATGAGTGATTTGAACTCGTTCTTCTCGCTCACCAGTGAGTCGGAGAGAAGGTTCGACTCCGTCGGGAGAGTCAGTTTCTCCGATCCGAGCAGTTTAACTCTCTTGGGGGTGTTCAAAATATCGTTTGTACTTCCTACAAGGTTCAGAATATTTTTTCTCACCCCTACCTTCACATTAAGCGGGGTGGGTTTAGATTTCTGTGCTCTGACTGTTGGTGGAGTTACAACTAGCGTATTTGAGTGAACAGATTTAATTGTATTGTTGAGATCTTCAGATTCTGGTAATACAACCTTGCTCCCAGATTTACTCTCCTGGTTCTCCTTGATCAAGGATTCGTACCCTAGGGTGTTCCGCGGAGGAACAAGAGGAACGGTTGGTTTGCTTAGGTCGGAGCTAGAGGAGTAATACAGGTTGCATAGAGAGCTGTTCCTTATCTCCTCTATAGTGTGGAGCAGGGAGCAGGTATCTAAACTATCCTCCTCGATCGGAGGGAGTTTGGGTTGGGATCGGTCGGATATCAGGGTTCGTTGAGATCTTTGCTCCGACCTGACGTTTAGCACCTCCGAGATGATCGACATGATGGAGGTATCCATGTCTGAGTACATTTGACTATTTGTACTCATACTGGCGAGGGATTGGTAGAGTTTTGATCTTGTCAGATCTGAATCTGATTCCTCAAGGACCGGAGTTAAAAGTCTCATCGGAGCAAGGATGTATAAATCCCCCCGGCTCTCCGGGTCATCAAATGGTACGGATTCATGTTGATGCAAGGTTTCACGAAGCGTCTCTAAGGATACGATCCTATTCGCCGTAACCTTCCGCCCATCATGATGAATGAGCGTGAGCGGGGCGGAGTGGACGTTTCGAGACATCTCTTGGGCGGTCTCTATAGGTTCGTAGGTATGGTTGGAGTCAGATGTATCCAGACTAGACGCCATAGTTGCCGTGGTGGAAACAGGGGTTAGAGATCGGTAGAGTTGGTCTTTCATGGCTTTACTCAGGGGGTAGATATCACAGAAAGCGAGGGTACTGTAGTTACTGAAAATGAAATTAAAATTATGGAAATATTTTTTAAAAGTTTTCTTTAAGATTGAAATTATCATTAATTTTTATTTTCTTAGAAAAACAGCATTCTACAAATTGAATAAGTTTATTTTCTTTTTTGTTGTTACTACATGGGCTAATATACTTTTTATATAATGATAATAATAATAATAATAATAATGATAATAATAATAATAATAAATCATAATAATACCTGTAGTCCGAGCTGGAGGTAAAATTAAGTTTATTTCTCTCATATTTAGTACTCTCATCATGTCTACTGTTTGCCATATCACTGTAGGTTCTCCAGTGCTGAGCATCTATAGGAGCACGGTTTATATTCACTAGAGCTAGGTTCTCATAATCATGGTTGGAGAAGGATGATAAATCCTTGGAATTAGCTCCGGGGTTGAGAATATCCAGGGATATAGTTTTATCAGACCATTGATCTGGAGAACTAGAGTTACTTTTAGTCACTGCCTGATTGCTGATATTAGGAATGATAATGGTGAGAGGAGCGTGCAATCTTTCCTTACCCTTCTCCTTATCATCACTTAGGTCGGACTCATCCTTCCTTGATACTGGAGGGATGGGAGTAAACCCCTCCGTTATATCCCTGAGTACGGGAGATCGTTTTAATAAATCTTTCTGAGGACGCTTCGGTGTTGAGGCGGTGTTATCTATTACGGTAATACGTGAGGTCTGAGAACCTTGACTAGTGTTTTGTTCCGATCTCAGGGAGGTGTCGGACATAGGATGGACGGATTGATAGGTATTGTTTTGGTTCTGAGCTCCCTGTGTTAGGGTGGGGGAGGAGAGAGACATGTAGGACTGATCTGCGTGCTGACTAGATCCGTCAATAGACATATAGGTTTCATTGTTAAAGGCAGCGGAGGAAACAGAGCAGTTGTGTAGAGAGGAGCTGGACCTATCCTGGTGTAAAGTGGACCCGGAGTTGTTCTGGTTTGCAACTGCATAGCTCTCGGTTGGAGATTTCTCCACAAGAGGAAAGGTATGACTGGATTCTGTGTTTCTGGATGCAGTTCGGTTTGAATCCGTTCCGTAAGCGGAGTCAAGCCTCTCGGAGATTTTACATTCCTCAGTCGGAGAAGATGGCCCGTTGGATCCGTTGGATGAATTGATAAGATCTAGGGCGCTCAGTACTACCGGAGAGTTTTTACCTCCTCGCACCATAACTTTAGTCTGAGTAGAGTACTTAAAGGAGCGGGAGTGTTTTAAACTCTTCTTGGATCTGTCTTGTTCTTCCAGGGACCTGGAGAGAGATCCGTCCTTCTCATCCAGATAAGTCGCGTCCTTGATCGTAAAATCAGGACTCTGGACTGAAACTGCCTTCTCAAGGTCAGGTTTCTCCCTAGGGTTTCCTCCACATGGATAAATGGGTCCAGCAGGATGAAAGTATCTGAAGAAAAGAAAAAGAAAATTTAAGGATTGCCTATTCTCCTTAGCAAATAAAAGGATATTCTTCCTTTTTTCAATTCCTATTTTTCTATGAAACAAGATTAGTTTAAAATAACAGATGTAGAAATTATTTCTCTGCAGTAAGTGTCAGAGCCAGGATAATAAGTACAGAAAAAAATAGATATTTTGTTGATAATTTTGTTCAAAAAAGAAACATCGGATCAAAATAAAACTAGAACCTGGATCAAAATTAATAAATAGATCGAAGAAGTTAAACTTTTTAGCCTAAGTTAAACCTCTTTCTTTTGTAAAATCATTCAAGTTCAAGAGAAGTGGTTAAACTTAGTCTATTTAGTTTTACTACTTCTTAATCGCTTTTCAAAAAAGGAATTGAGTCTTTACCACAAACTCAAATTTTCTAATCCCTGTAAACTTGCAACCTGATGGTGTAAACCTTTTAAATTTAGAACTTAGATTATTTGATCGAACAAAATTCATAGTTCAAGCTATCTAAGATCTATGACATCAGGTTGCAAAGATAAAGGGATTAGATATCAGAGGTTGTGTCAAAGAATCAATTCCATTTTTGGTCCACGATCAAATAAAAATGGTTTGTTGTAATCCCTAATTTTAAACTTCACGAACATTCCTTTTAATCCCTGTTTGTATTAAAGGCTGGGGTAAGAAACTAACCTGTAATACAAAGCGAGGCTGATAAGTCCGACTGCTGTCCCTCCGAGGACGATAACCAATGCCCCGAGGCTGAACCAGGTGACCGGTATCCCGGGGGTGTGGTGGGAGCACCAGTAGTAGGCCGCCAGGAAGGCGGTGTTCTCTAGGAACATTATCAGGTAGAAGCAGATCATTCGGTACCTAGATATACATTACATTGAGCAGTTTGTGTAAAAGGGACTGTAAGCGAAATTTTAGGTGAATTCACAACGGTGCCCTTAAAAGCTTTGTCTGATCAAGCAAGAATTAGTTATAAATGTTCATAGTTCTCTTACAAAAGTAAATTGCGCATTTCTGGTGCAGGGAAACATTTAGGAATGATCAAAATGAAATACTTTCAAATCTAGTTTAAACGAAAATATTCTCCAAACTACTCTGAATCTGACATTTTCATCTTTGCATGGAGGGTCAATTAAAATTACTCCTACAGTCTTTATAATGAGAGGAACCTAACCACAAATAAGATATAGACTGCAGATGTTAAATCAACCTTTTTAGAAAATAAAAAGATAAATTTCAGTCTGTGTTGATCGCCTCATTTCTTACAATAAAATCAACAGCAATATCGATATAAATTTGTTTAGCTTCCCCCCGATATATCTATAATCTGTGTTCTCACCTGGACCTGCCCTCCTTGAGATTGAAGAAGCAGAAGCAGTAGATGACCCCAACCACGGCGTTGTACAACCTCTCCTCCATCTTGTTTGTGCAGAAGTCTGTGTTCTGCCAGATCACCCAGCCCGTCATCAATAACCAGTGAGCTCCTGGACACAAAAAAGGATGTTGGAATTTTAGTTTTAATAAAATTTAATTAATAATTCATTCGGTGTACCGTCCCTTTTTGCCTTCTTAGTCCGTATGTAAACTGAACAAACTGCTGTTAAGTTGTTGACCGAGGTTGGCCCGGCACTTAAAATTAAGTCTTTGGGGCATTTTTTTATGGATAAAATATAGAAATTACATATGACAATACATTGATTAAACAATTAGAAGAGCGGCGTCCTTTTCTTCAAGTTATAAAAAAAAATTGTCAAGAAAAAGATGAAAGATGTGGAAGTTGCTATTTTGCTTGAAGATGTGAATAAATAAATATTGTTAATTCTTAGATAACTCAATTCTTACTCTTTAAAGATTTAAAAAATGCATACCTAGAACTACAAATATTTAAAAAATGCATACCTAGAACTACAAAGATTTAAAAAATGCATACCTAGAACTACAAAGATTTAAAAAATGCATACCTAGAACTACAAAGATTTAAAAAATGCATACCTAGAACTACAAAGATTTAAAAAATGCATACCTAGAACTACAAAGATTTAAAAAATGCATACCTAGAACTACAAAGATTTAAAAAATGCATACCTAGAACTACAAAGATTTAAAAAATGCATACCTAGAACTACAAAGATTTAAAAAATGCATACCTAGAACTACAAAGATTTAAAAAATGCATACCTAGAACTACAAAGATTTAAAAAATGCATACCTAGAACTACAAAGATTTAAAAAATGCATACCTAGAACTACAAAGATTTAAAAAATGCATACCTAGAACTACAAAGATTTAAAAAATGCATACCTAGAACTACAAAGATTTAAAAAATGCATACCTAGAACTACAAAGATTTAAAAAATGCATACCTAGAACTACAAAGATTTAAAAAATGCATACCTAGAACTACAAAGATTTAAAAAATGCATACCTAGAACTACAAAGATTTAAAAAATGCATACCTAGAACTACAAAGATTTAAAAAATGCATACCTAGAACTACAAAGATTTAAAAAATGCATACCTAGAACTACAAAGATTTAAAAAATGCATACCTAGAACTACAAAGATTTAAAAAATGCATACCTAGAACTACAAAGATTTAAAAAATGCATACCTAGAACTACAAAGATTTAAAAAATGCATACCTAGAACTACAAAGATTTAAAAAATGCATACCTAGAACTACAAAGATTTAAAAAATGCATACCTAGAACTACAAAGATTTAAAAAATGCATACCTAGAACTACAAAGATTTAAAAAATGCATACCTAGAACTACAAAGATTTAAAAAATGCATACCTAGAACTACAAAGATTTAAAAAATGCATACCTAGAACTACAAAGATTTAAAAAATGCATACCTAGAACTACAAAGATTTAAAAAATGCATACCTAGAACTACAAAGATTTAAAAAATGCATACCTAGAACTACAAAGANTACAGGGATTATTCGTTGGTTTAAAGGTTGGATGATCAGATGTTTGGATGGTTACAGGGATTATTCGTTGGTTTAAAGGTTGGATGATCAGATGTTTGGATGGTTACAGGGATTATTCGTTGGTTTAAAGGTTGGATGATCAGATGTTTGGATGATTGGATAAAGAAGAAGACGAATTCTCGTTAAAAAAATCACGATGAAAATTTGTTTTTGTTTCAAATACTTCTCAACCTATCTGGTTAAACAAGTTTATCCAAATACGCCTGAATAGTTACCTGAGGGCCTGGCTGTAGGCTGCAACCCCCCAACCCAAGCTGACCATGCTGGCTACTGCCGATACACAGGTCCAAGTCACATTAAATGTTGACCAATCAGAGACCTCGATTAGGACGTACAGTTGAAATACTAGCTGTGGGGCAGACTCCATAAACGAATCAAATAACCTAAGAAAAATAATTCAAGACTTTTTAATTTGCTTATAATAATTATTCACAAAAAACTTGCCCGTGAACGGGTTATTAGAAAGATGAGAAAAGTTCTTCTTAAGCAAATTAAATAAGGTATCAAAGGGAATAAATTTCCATTTATAGAGTGGCTTGTTCGATTCACCCTATGTACCCTATATACCTTGATCAAGAATAAATGACGTCTACTAAAAGTATTTTTTTCTATTGCAATCTCTCTATAAAATGATGACTGCTGATTTATACTCCAGAGAGAATCCGGGAAATATTCAGAATTTGACAGTTTTTATGTATATTACTCAATGTTACTCAGAAAAAAGGTTTAAACTTTTTAAGTATACAAATCTTATGAGTCCCACAATTAAAATCTTTAGGCAACCTTTTTAGAATAAATGAGTGCAGTACTAACCTAAGCATACATATATCTGACCATTGTTGATAATATCTCTGATAATCGACCTCATCATCCGAACTACGGGCAACAAGACCCAGGGTCAGCACACGGTAATACCTGCACACACAACAATTTAAAATTCTAATTTTATTAAATTTCAAATTCTATATAAACTGATTCCAATTTTCAAACCGCGGTTTAAGCCACGGTTCAAATTTGGTTGGTTCCACTTAAATTTTTCAAGATTTAAGCCGGAGCTAAATTGAAACCGGTTTTGGGGGATTTGAGACGAGGCTTAGATTCATTAAATTCGGACATTGATGTCGTAGACTTTTGAAATATCAAAATAAGAATTCTGCTGGATCCAAAAGTCAAAGTTTGACATATCAAGTAAGATGCAGTACATTATCAGGTTGCTAAAATATAGGAATTAGAAAATAAGAGTTTGAGGCAAGTGCTTAGATCATTTATTAAAATGTAAATATGAATATTCTTCAATGCATGCTGTTTACCTATGGAGGGTTCCCAGCAGCATGCCATGAATGCATGTTATAGGTTTTGATGAATATTCGTCCAACTGGTTCCATCTAGCGGAGAATATTTGAACTATGGCGTTGGGCACCAGCATAAGAACTAGGGTGGCAGCACAGAACTGTGGATGGCCATCCAGGAAGAATGTGATACTCAGAATAATATCTGAAAAAAATTACATTATTAACAAAGTTGTCACGTCCTCGACTTAAAACTTGTTCTTGTCCTCGTCTTTGTCCTAGCCATTCTCCTGGTCCTTGTCCTAGTTTTGTCCTTGTCCTTGTTCTAATCCTTACCCATATTGTCCTTCCTCTGTCTGTTTACGTTTCTGAAACTTGGTTTTGTCCTTATTCTTACTATCTTATCCTTGTCCTATTCTTATTCCTTGTTATTAATAAAACAAACAATTTGTTAATAAAGGGTTTATCTTGCATCATTTCGATCAGAACTCAGGTTTTTTAAGACACCCTGTACTTATAGATCTATGTATATTGTATATACGTACCGTTATGTAGTATATACCTATATATATAGGTTATGTTTACAATTTGGCAACCTGAAGTAAATTTTATCTTTAAAACCAAATATGCCATAGATTTGTTGCTCAGTCAGTAAATCTTTAACATAATGCTTTTATTACGTTCCTCCCTAAAATTGAATCACGTTTTTAGAATAAAATAAATTTGCAAACAAAAAAATCCCATGGGGTGCAAGGGGACCGGGGAGGGGAAAAGGATAAAAAATATTTTTTTAAATATTATTTAGTAGAGAGGACTTAAAATTTCCAAATGAGTTTAAAACTTAAATGGAAAAATGCGTTGTCTGGCGAGTTGTTTGTTTGTGTACAATAAATGTCAAAATAGTTTAAACCTATCAGACCCATTTTTGGGGGATTCACACGACCCCACAATAATATTAATATTAAGCGTAATTATAAGGAACCCTCCATGCAGCCTTTTTCTAAGTTAAAAAAAAATTTTGCTATAAATTATGTATCTTTTCTTGCAGTAGAAATGCGCATGCCAGTTTTGAAGAGAAATTGGCACACTTAAAAATTATCAGTTTTCGAAATTATAAACATTGATATCATATAAATACTTGATCAGACATAGTTGTTCAGGATACCATTGTTAATCTGGCTTTGTCATCTTTGCATGGAGGTTCACTTAAACTTACGCTTACAGTCCCTTTCAGTGGGCTAATGGGGCGTAGAGGAGGGGGGAAGGGGGGGCACTTGGTCCCCTAGTTGCACCTTTATCTAGATAAGTTGTTGTTTAGTTAATTATCTTAAATGAGAAAGCATTATCTGTTTTTATCTTGTTCTACTGAATACTACTACTCTCTAGTCAAGTTCTCCATGCTTCTTGGAATTAGAAACCGGAACAATTTCAGTTTTTTTCTCAGCTTTTTAACAATTTTTAGACTGGCATTCTCAACAGAAAACATTTGTTTGATCAAGGATAAATGAGATATCCTGGGTTTTCTAACAGAAAATTGATGATTTTTCTTTGTGGTCGCTATATATATGACTTGTGAATTTTTACAACAGAGGCAACAACCCGAAGTTTTCAGAATAAAAAAGAAAAAGAAAAGAAAAAAACATTTGATTACGGATTATAGCTATTTTTTGGTAGATAACATTTTCTGTCTATAAAACTTCAAAATTAACATTGGAAAATGTCATTTTTTGTAATTATTGTCAGAAAAGTAGCTGAACCATGATCCGAATCAGTTCTTAGAATCCGGATCCGTTGGATCCGCAAGATTTTGGCTTCCTGGATCCGGATCCGCATCAAAATAAAATGGATCCTAAGCACTGATTCTAGTTTATAGCTAACATGTGTGTATAATGTGTTAACTGTTGGAAACCATTGAACTTTGAAGCTGACATCTGATTTAAAAATGGCCGTTAATATCTGTAAGCATTAGAGGTACCTATAGCCAGGTGTATGGGGGGACGGAGGATTCCGGACTGGAATCGAACCGTAACGTTTAAAAGAATTTCCGGAAATCTGAAACGTAATATTATAAATATACAAAACCATTATACAATAAAGAATAAATTTGACAACATGTATAAAAATCGTTATGAGGATGTTTAATATTTTGAACAATGAACAAATTTGAATTTTGAAAAATAGCAAATTTAAATTTCAACAGGTAATTTTGAAACCCAATACTTTAATGAGTTTGAAGAGTCTTCAAAGCAAACAGAAATCTGATCCAAGAAAATATTTTCAATACATCTTGAAAACTATATATACATACACAAAACAAGAAAATATTTTCAATACATCTTGAAAACTATATATGTGCATACCGGGAAAACAACAAAAAATTAGATATTTTTAGATATCAAAATCTAAATGTGAGTTTCTTTTCTTATTTTATTAGTATTGAAACTTATGAACGATTTTAATGTGTAAAGATGAAAAAAGAATTTAGAAAGTCTAAATCTTAAGGTAGCCGTGAATTTATGAAAAATAATGACAAATTCAAATCCTTTACATTAATTGGATTTCTTCTAATAAGCATTTAAGCAACTAAAACAACTGATTGGTTTTTCAATGTTGTTTGAAGAAAAATTAACTGTTTTATATAAATTTTAAAGGAAGGAATGGAAATATTTATTGATTTTCACAAGTTAAAAAGTTTTCAAAAATATATTAGATATTAAAAAAATTTACACTTTTGGTTTAATATCAGTAAATAAAGGTTTCTAAGAATATTCTTTTTAAAAATTATTACGTACTTATATTCTTATTATTGATAAATTCAAAATGATTGAATAAATAAGAAATTAGATTCCCTTCCTCAACCCCAAGAAAATTGGGATTTCCAGATTAAAATTCCAAAAGTATACTTACCCTACGTAGTGAAGACCCCCCCCCCTCTCCTACCCGTCAAAGGTAAAACCACTGAGAAATACTGATCTTTAAAACCTAAATATTAAAATACTAACCTGTGGCTTGATCTGCTATAAAAGTAAGTATTGAACCGATGACAAATGTTGCATCAAGCAAACTAAACTTATGAAAACCTCCCATTTTCGTTCACTCAGTTAGATTTCACAGTTTTCTTCTTTTCATGGTTTTCAATATTTAAATTTGGCGCCACTGTGATCTCTTACCGGTGCTACAACCAACTGAAGACTGAGTAAACAGCTGAAGGCTCCGTTCCAGTCCGTTCCCGCCCAAAACTTTAAATTCCGTTCAAGACTGTATACGGGATGGATTGGTCTGATCTGGAACGGAGAATACCCCCAAGGTATGTGGAAGTCGTTAGGAACACCACCTTTTTTACCGGGACTCACCGGGTATAGATAGATAGATAGATAGAAATGGACATATGGTTGAAGATAGACAATTCTGTTGGCCCTGGTCATTATTGTCAAATAAGATGGTCATTAACTGTCAAAAAAGTTTTCACTTTGTGTTGAGAATGATCATAAATATATCTGAAAAATATAACTTTACTTCACAAAAAAAAATTTGAAAATTTTGTAATTTCCCGAATTTTGATAATTAAAGATGGCACCTGATAAAGATTTTGAAAAAAAGATGATATAAAAAATCGGAAAGTTCATTTTACAGAATCTATTTGTCTCAAAGAAGCTTTCTAAAATAATATTTTTTTTCAAAATATGCTATGGGTATATATACGTTTTACAATAATTCATTTTTAATTTAAAATCTTTGGAGGATTTAAACCGGCAAATTTCTCTACAGATTATCTTCATTAAATCCTTCAATTCAATCTCTTCTCTCGGTTTTGTGTTCACTTTTTCAATATTTTAAATTTCATTCAAATTCACAATTTCTACTTTAAAAGCAGCTTTTTTTTCTTCTCTCTAACTTTTAATCTTTCTTGTCCATTTTTTATCTTGTCATTATCTTTTTTTTTTGCTATCTTACAGAGTGTTTCTTCTTATAGACTGGCTGAAGTGCCCGGCGTTCCCCGTGGAATTAAAAAACATAATTTGGAAAAGAAATTTAAATTTTTTTAAAGCCCATTTGTTTCAGCCGTTTGGCCAGCTATTAGCTATAGCTAAAATATATATACAATTACATATAAACGAAGAGCTTTATTACATAGATTATTTTTTTCCATTTGTTTCTTCTTTTTTTTACTTTTAAAAATCAGATCGAATATTATGCGGATACTTTATGCAATAAATATCCATATATATATATATATATTGATGGAGGATAAGGAAAATATTTCTAAATCAAATTCTCAATGATAAACAAGATACATCTTTCTAATATGTGCAGTGGGAAGACGACTGTTAAACTCAAGTTAGGATTTCAGGCAGTCCAATAAACATTCAAAATTTCAATTTAAAAGTTTATTTAAAAGGTACTTGTAGAACTGTTTGCTTTATAACAAATGCATTTAAGATTTATACATGTCGTCTTCATAGTCTGCGGATTTATGTGTCCTACAGTATTCTTCAACCAAAAATTTTCTCGGAGCTTAATGTTGAGCGAGGTTTTCAATGATTATTTTCCAAAACAAATCAAGCGTTGTCCTCAGTTATAGCTTCAGAGGTTTTGTATATTTTTTTTGTGGCAATCATAAAAAAACTTCTAAAATTGAGAATCGTGAAAAAAAATTTTGGTCTTGCAAGAGGCCAAATTTGTACCATTGAACAAAACAGAGTTTCATGCACTAAAAGTTTTTAATTATGTTATTTATATGCAACATTTTAACTTTAGTCAAAAATACACGGTTTCGAATTAAAAGGCGAAGAGTGTTAAACTTTGTTTCAGAGGAAAATTTACAGGAAGTACCATTTCACCCTTTAATCCTCTATAAACTCAACCCTTATGGTTTATTAAATAAATAATTAGATGATTAGAGATAACTAGATAATTAGATAATTAGACATGATTAGAGAGATGATTAAACGTTTAAAGACTTTTATTTATTTTATTTAATAACAACTTCTTCATTTTAACGACATAATAAATTGAAATTTAATGAAATTGCGTATTTTAAGTCCAATGAAAAAACAGTTAGAGGAAAAGCAGACCGCCCCCCCCCCTTCCCCCCTCCACTCAACCACCCAAATTCTACTACCTCAAATTAACTGTTTTATATAA